ATATGACGGGCCCCTTTTACTAGTGACCAGATCTGTAAGAGGAGACCTATCTTTCTGAGGACAAAATTCTTTTACTCAAGAAATTTGATCCTAAATCTCAAAAACTGTCGTGAAGCTTGAAGACAAAAATTCCTAGGTTGTAGAAAAATGTTGTTCATGTGTTCGCAAAAAGTTAAGAACAATTTTCTTCCGGAGGAGAAGCTCTTTTTACACAGATCCACACACAAATGGACTGCATTTTGCAATTGAGCACTAAAATTTGTGTCTCAAGTTTAGAAACAACGTAAGTACTCATAGTATCAAATGCACATAAGTGTTTTTATAGATGAGCCAGAAATTGTAGCTCCGAATTGCAAAATTTAGTTCAAATTAAGTAACATTGACTCAGACCGCTCTCGGCGCTCTCTGCTCAATCTTCACCAGATTGAAGGCAAAAAGGAAGTAAAGCAGTCGATAACCTAACAAGGTTTAACAGTTAATTTCCACCACGACGCACTTTTAGACCCCGGCTCGTCAAAAATTCTTTTAAAGACACGAGGCACTCTGGAAATTCATGAATAATCATTCAAAATTGTTACATATTGTTACTTTGCTCTATGATGACCCATGTCTCCAGTAAAAATCTTAGCTTGAGGATACGTCTGGTTTTAGAAATACAGCGTTGACAAGTTTCCATATTTAAGCTTTAAAGATTATCGTATTATCAAGTATCTTACTTTCTGTAAACAACTGTCATTGGATGTTTCATGATATTTTAAGACATTTCATCAACAGTCAGTGTACATTTTTCTAAAAAAATACGTTAATAATAAATAATTTTTCTACGTTAATGCAGTTAATTCTGTTGATACAACGTTGCAAACTTGACATCACAGACCTATGAAAATGCTCATTTTGTTCCGTTTTTGAATTAAAAAACGAACTTATTGACCACCTAATGGTATGATAATGTGGTTTAGCTGAAATTCTATGATAAGAGTAGTCTTGTGTAAAAGTTTTACCGCGAGTGTAAGTATAGATTTAACGATACAGCGTTGCAAAGTTTATGTATATAAGCTTTAAAAATGTTTTTATTTTTAAGTTCAGTGTTTGTTTGTTTTTTTTTTGGTTTTTTGGTTTTTTTTTGTTTTTGTTTTTTGTTTTTTTTATGAAATAAACCATTAACGTTATCTGCAGATGTAAGATTGATTTGTAGTGATACAGCGTTGCCAAGCTCACAATTTTGAACTCAACGAAATATGATTTTTTTTTTTAATTTTTTTTCCAGTTTAAGATAAAATCAATGGGTATCATCCCTCATACCAATCCAAAATATCAAGGTCTGATGTCTGTTCCAAGTGACAATTGGTTTTTGCAATAATACTTTCGCCAAGTTTATTCACAATTCTCTCCAAGCAATAAATAGTAGACGATTTTAAAATAAAGATGCTTCCAGTAGTTATTTGATTTTGCTTATTTTTTATTTACATTGACATTTTTTTCTTTCATTTTTATATAACTTTCTACCGTATATTATTTTTCATTTTTTTTTTATTTTTGTATTTTTTATAGTTTTTTATCTTCTTCCTTCAAAATATTTTATTCGTGCGATGCTTCAGTATCAGTCCTGTCTTGCCTTCAAATCTATAGAAAACGCCTCAACATGATGCCAATTTTAAACTTTCACCCTCCAAAAGTCGTATTTAAATAATTTTAAAATTCTCTATTAAGGAGGCGTCTGGGTTTTTTTATACATTAACGCAACAGTGATTTAAATATTCTATTTAGGTTTTAAATTATATTTTATTGTTTTGTTGGTGTATTTATTATTTTTCGTTCATTTAATTTACTTTGCACTTTTTTTTTCTTTCTTATTTCTTTCATATTTTCAAAATCTTCCATTCTTACGTTCAAGATACTCAGTTTTTTAAGGCATAATAAATGTATCGTCTGTATCAAGATTTATTTCTACTTAAAAAAACCCAAACGCCTCCATATCCTATGTTAGTTTCTTCATTACACCTAAAAAAAGGTTGAATTTGCAACTATGTCTAGGCAGAATATTTCAGATCTTGAAAGCAACGCTGATGCTGAATCATCCATTGTATTCCAAAAATCCTCTGGAATTACATTTGAAAGTAAAATAACTATTGGAAGTATCCTTATTTTTAACTAATTTTATACAATCGAATGTTAAAAGAAAAGCAGATAAAATTTGCAACGATGTTATTTTAATGCAATTGTCACCCAGGAACCACATAAAGCCTCCACATTCCGCTTCACACTATTAACCATTAACTCATATTGTATCTTGTCTCCAATACAATAACAAGAAAAAGTAGACATTTTCATAGATGAAAGATGTAAACTTTGCAACGCTGTATTGCCCAAAATTATTGTATACTGATTAAATCTATGCTGTACGTCTAAACTTTGCAACGCTGTATTGCCTAAAATTATCGTATACTGATATAAATTTTACTATGAGTCTGCAAGTATCTCCAATTGTATATTTTATGTTTCAAATACTGCTACAAAATACAAAACTACAAAAAATGGGTATTTGTAAAGGGCAAGAATGCTATTTTTGCAACGTTGTACTGCTGTTAACGGCTCATCCACAATTTGAAACTTTTACTAAGGATTTTCTTATAATTTTTCAGTTACGCGTCATGTTTACTTGAAACTTACATTACTTGTTACTTACATTACTTTGAAATTGGCTTTTGGAAGAAATTCTTCAAAAATATGAAGATTTATAAGTCTCAAACATGCGAACTTTGCAACGCTGTAGCTCCAAAACCAATGGCGTGGCGTGAATTGCGATATATCGATTGTCATGCCATTTAAACCTATGAAAATGGATCGATAGACAGGGTGTTCGCAGCGAACACCTTAATAATCGATTCTTTACCATAGCTTTAAATGGCATGAGAATCGATACATCGCAATTCACGCCACGCCACTGTCCAAAACCAAACGTATCCTCAAGCTAAAATTTTTACCGGAGGCTTGTCTCATCATAAGGTTTCATTTCGGTCGCGTACGAATGAAATCCCCGGGTTTCAAAAAAGGTCGCTCCTCTGACATTAGGACGTATCTCACTTTTCACATGAACCGCAGAAAGCATGGATTTGAATGTGACCCAGGGCTCACGAGGAAATTGAGATTCGCCCTTTCGCCAGAGGAGCGACGAAACGGGGCCACTCATTGGGAGGCTTTTAAATCTATTTTCCTCCCTCAATTGGACTGCATTTTGCAATTTGGAACTATAAATTCTGGCCCGGTTTAAAAAAAACGCATGTGCCATTAGTATCCCTATGCACATAAGTGTTTTTTTTTCAGATGAGCCAGAATTTAGAGTTCCAAATTGCAAAATGCAGTCCAATTCGTCGTTACCTCCCACGAAAGAACATAACTACATTTGGATTACATTTTGCAATAAGGAACCTCTATTTCTGACTTCCATAAAACCACCGTTCTGCACAGGGAAACCAATGGCATATACGTTGTTTCTAAAATGAGCCAGAAATAGTGGTCCTTTTTGCAAAATGTGGTCCATTTCATTGTTGCCAGATTTCGCCTCGTAAATTTGAATTTGTAAAGGAAAATGTTAGGTATTAATTGTACATTTCACTGATTTTTCCGCTGATCTCATGAAAAACGAAAATAATTTTGGATAAAGATTTCGCTTTCTCGTGTTTGTGAAAAATTGAATTCTTTGAATCAATTTGACAACCTTGGAATGAAGTTACGTTTCTTCGTCCGGAAAATGACAAAAAATGAAGCTGAATCCTGTCGTAGCGAATTCAGTGAATAGTTTATTCTGCAGAATCTTGGAAAAATAAGACAGTTTCAAGGCCTTATGTTCCGTAGTTCTGCAGTATTACAGAAACAGAACATCAGGAAAAACTAAGCACCGTCAAATCGTTGCTCCTCTGACGTAAGGGCTTATCTAGATTTTTGCATGAGCCTTAGAAAGCATAGAGTTATACGGAGCACAGGGGGGTAATCAAGTTACGCCCTTACGTCAGAGGAGCGACGAAATGTAGTTAAGTTGATTCTACCTAAAATCGCCCGAATGATGACAGCGGCGATGATCAGCGTTGAGGAAGAATGAGGGGCTTGTAGGACAAAGCGCGTAAGTGCAGTTTTTGCTACCTCGAGAAATATGTGTTAGAAGTTTTGAAATTACATGGATCCTTATGGCGGAAAGAAAGTTCAAACTGACTTTTTGAAGCTTAAAAATTGAAATTTGAGAGGGAATTTTTCACAAAATATGCACTAAGAATAGTTTTACTTGAAATCATTATCGAGAAATATGTGTTTGAAGTCTCAAAATTACACGGATCCTTATGGCGGAAAGAAAGTTCAAACTGACTTTTTGAAGCTTCAAATTTGAAATTTGAGAGGGAATTTTTCACAAAATATACATTTAGACTAGTTTTACTCGAAATCATTAAAATCTCAACTTTCTCAAAAACTGCACTTATGCGCCTTGTCCTCCAAGCCCCTCAAATTTTTTAGCAGCCCATTTCAAAAATTGAAATTATTGACAGTAACCGATTCATTAGAAGTTGAGGTGATTCAATGAACGCCATATTTTGTGCCAGAACGACATGCGAAATATCGCGTCAATTGGTTTCATTTTTTCAGCTACTTGTCATTTTTCTCGAATTTTGAGATCGCAATTCTGTTGTCAGGAGACTAATGAATTCACCTACCAAATTTTGACAAACAAATTCATCGTAATGAAGTCGTGGGCTTTTTTTATGAGACAAAATATCCCATTCGAATGCAGTATTTTTCCTCTATTTTCCTCACGCCTTTAATACTTTGAATTTGTTCATCAAAATTGACAAGTGAATTTAGTCTCCTGACAATAGAATTGCGATCTCAAAATTCGAGAAAAATGACGAGTTGCCGGAAAAATGGAACTAATCGATGCTATATATCGCATCCCGTTCTGTCACAAAATATGGCGTTCATCGAATCACCTTAATTTTCGAAATAGGAGGAAGCTTGAGAGATCTTACCGTGAAGAAGCGATGATCTGCAAGGTCAGGAACAGCTCTGATGCGTAGGGTGAAGATTTCCATCCTCTTCATCGCCTTCTCGAATGTTGGCTGCAAAAAAAAATGAAACTTTTAGAGATAAATTCAACGTAACGCATTGTTGCACATTGTGTAGTATATTGAACAGCTTAACAAATAAATTGAAATAATGTTGAAAAAAATGGAATAAAACTGCTTTATTTACCACAAAATTACAATATTCTCACATAATGTATTCAATAATAATCAATTTTCAACGATTAAACATTTTCATATCGACGACTTAAGGAGGTTTGATGGACGCCATATTTAGTGTCAGAATGGCATGCGATATATCGCATCAATCGTTTCCATTTCTTCAGCTACTCGTCATTTTTCTCCAATTTTGAGATCGCAATTCTGTTGTCAGGAGACTAAAGCACTCACTTACCAATTTTAACAAAGAAATTCAACGTAATAAAGGCGTGGTTTTTTTAGAGTGAAAACATCGCATTCAAGTGCAGTTTCGATACCAGTATCGAATGTGATATTTTCTCTCTAAAAAAACCACGCCTTTATTACGTTGAATTTCATTGTTAAAATTGGTAAGTGAGTGCTTTAGTCTCCTGACAACAGAATCGCGATCTCAAAATTGGAGAAAAATGACGAGTAGCTGAAAAAATGGACCCCATTAATGCGATATATCGCATGCCGTTCTGACACAAAATATGGCGTCCATCGAATCACCTTAAGTGTAGGAACACGCGTTTCCGTCTGCTACTCAACACATTTTCTGTCATACTTCATTTTCTGTTATACTTCATTTTTTCTCGGGGGAACTGGTCTACCTAATTTCTTTAAAACTTCCGTGATTTTTTTTCAATGTTTGCAGAATACTTTGTATAAATTTCAAGCTACGAAGTTTGCTTGTTTCTCTTCGAAAAAATGAAATAAAGGTGGGAATTTTATGACACCACAATAGAAATGCATGATTTTCCACTTTGGCCATCGATTTATGAAGAAGTTAGGTAATTCGCAAATGCAAAAAATTGCAACTCATTTCAATACGCAGAATACCTCGATAACTCCACTGATTGTGAAAAAAATCTCGAGAAAATCAAAAGATTATCGCCCACAGGGATTCTCAAATTATATATTGATGGCCGAAGTGCGAAACCACCTACCTCCGTCTGCGACGTCCCGGACCTCCTGTTACACTTTATTTTTTCTTGGTAAAACTAGTCAACTTATTCCTTGAAAAGTACCTCGATTTTTCCTCTCTTTTAGCAAAATATTCACGGAAAAAAAACACATTGGATCTTGAGTCCAGACTCTTAAAAAAACATCAACAAGAAAAAGTACTCTTGATTCAATCAGAATCTAACTTAAATTAAAAACCAAGCCTCTTAATTTAAGCGGATTTCGTTTTGATTCAAACAAAAATCCGATTGAATCAAGAGTATTTTTTCTTGTCAATGTTTTTAAGAGTCTGGACTTTAGATCCAATGTGTTTTTTTTCCAGTGTTCTGTAAAGATATCAAGCCAAACAGTCGACTTAATTTTCCTCGAAAAAATAAAATGGTAGCATTTTTACTGGAAATACGTGGTTTCACACTACTTAAGTTATCGCTAATAAATGTAACCACACTTCTCTCGTTAAAAAAAAGAAAAAAAAAAACATTTTGTTGATGACATCAAGCGACTTACCGAATCAACGCTGAGGAATACACGTGAGCAAAATGACTTCCGAAACGATATCCTCAAATCAAATTTCACTGGAATATCACTGAAAAGACACTACCGAAAATTCGCACGATGACAACCGACACGAGTGACAAAACTACTTCCACTTATTGTAAAACACGGCAAACTATCGCACTGAACGGAAAAAGTAGAGGCTTGCAGACTAAAACTTTCGGCGGATAGAAAACTTTCGAATAGTAAGGTTGTTCAATTATTCACTGCACCTTCTATATTTACGAAATATTCCACAGAGAGAAATTTTAATAATAAAGTACCGAACACGAAAATTTAGTACCGAACACGAAAGTATAGTACCGAACACGAAACTACACTGATGGTAATACACTTGAAGCGCACGATTATCACACGCGGTCCCGAGATGAATAAATTTTCGATAAAATATACTTCCGATTTGATTATCCTCCCACGGGTTGAGCTAGAGCTCAACCCCTACGGCTGCGCGACTTCGACTGAACAAAGTACCGAAAGTTCCGAGCCCTCGAGGTCTCCAACTTTTTCCTTGTTGTTCTCGAAAACAAAAGAGTGGCTTCGATTTTCAAAATATCCCTACATTTCGGGTTTCCCAGGTGAAAGGTCAGTGCAAGCTCACAAAAGAAAATATGTTCATTGAACTGAAAACTAATTGGATGTATTTCTATCAAACGGAACTATGTCCATTAAGACATAAGCCCTGAGACCCATAAGAATATATACATAACAGGGCTCATGTCATATTGCTTATAGCTCCGTTTGATAGAAATACGTTCAATTATTACAATAATTAATGAGGGTACCTGGATTTCCCGGATTAATTCATCTCTCACTTTTCACAACTTTCCTTTTTTTGCTGAAAAGTAGTGAGGGTTCGTCCATGAATCACATAGCCCATTTTTCCCGACCTTTGACCTCTCCTCCTTTTGCCCTAGATGTCATTTACCTCCAGACACCCCCTCCCCCCCCCCGAAAAATTTGTCATTTCAAGCGTGCCTCCCTTTTTGCGTAGGTGTGGGTCGTCGCGAACCCTTGCCACGGGCGTATCACATACGAATTCAAGTGTTTAAATGACTCAAAAATAACATAAATCACATAGGAAAAATCTAGAATCCACTCCTCCTTCACGGCATTTCTTGATTGCAATCGACTCGGCTTGAATTCTGCCGTGCTAAGGAAGAACGTCATATGAACATTCGAGAATTGCCGAATTTTCCTCGATAAAGCATGTATTTTTTACGACATCCATGCATATTTGGACCGCGTTTATTTAACCGAAAGGAACCAAGCCACATCAGCTATTGCCAAATTTAAGGGGGCGATTTAATTTTTTACGAAAGAACGTTTGTGCGGATTCCTTTGAAAATTTTAAGGAATTCGCATTGTACTTCGGAGAAAATTCACTGAAATTTGCCCTAAAATCCGCAAAACCGTTTTTATGGGAAAAATTAAAATGCCTGATTAAATTTGGCAATAGCTGATGTGGCTTGGTTCCTTTCTGTTTAACGCGGTCTATTTTTCCTTTACAATTTCAGATATTTAGATTAAATTGCGTACAAAATCGTCTGAAGATTTGGGGGAAAATATTCACAATTTCCCCACTTAATGGGCCAGTTGCGCTGGTCACAGAATCGCGTTTTGATGCTTGATTCTTGTAGATCAGCTATAATAATAATAAGATCCGTCCAAACAGCAACTTTCTTTGTTCAATATTAATCGAGATATCGTCTTTTGAAAAGACAGGTTTTGGATGTCATCCATCGCGGTGGGGACACCCTTGGTTTTTTTCACCTTGCTTTCATCCAAGTATCACGCTTAGTAACCAATTCATCGCTGACTGATAAAAGCGAGGTGGAAGAAACCAAGCGTGTCACTACCGCGGTGGATGACGTCAAATTCCGGCTTTCTAAAAGGCGATATCTCGGTTAATATTGAACGTCGAAAGTTGCTGTTTGGACCGATCTTATTAATTTTAGGTGAACCGCAATAATCAAGCAACAAAACATGATTCTGTGACCAGCGCAACTGAGCCAACACTGGAAAAAACACACATTGGATCTAGAGTCCAGACTCTTGAAAACACTGACAAGAAAAAATACTCTTGATTCAATCGGATTTTTGCTTTGAATCAATAGGAAATCCGCTTAGGTCAAGAGACTTGCTTCTTGATTTAAGCTTGATTCTGATTGAATCAAGAGTACTTTTTCTTGTCGATGTTTTTAAGAGTCTGGACTCTAGATCCACTGTGTTTTTTTCCCAGTGAATCCGGTTTTTGTTTAAAGAAATTTGGCAACGTCTGAAGGCGCATACGGCGTTCTTCCTTAGCACAACAGAATTAGACACCAGGACTTGGATTTAATTTGCTATTGTCATGTTGCCTGGATTGAGCTTTGTGAAATCCTCTCGGACCCGCGCATCCGATGCGTCTCGATCAAGATGATCAGGATGCATTTCCCCGAAAGGGCAATTGCGCCGACACGAATGCTCGAATGCACCATGCGATGACCGCCTCGATGAAGAGATGCTTTCACCTATAGCCATTCATCTCATCCTCATCTCGTACGCAACATCCTGGGCTCCCGCCTCGCCAGATCGTCATAGACGTCGCTCCTTTGACGTATGGGCGTATAACAATTTCCGCATGAGTCTTGGAAGCATAGATTTGTATGGAAAATAAAGCTCACGTGGAAATTGAGATGTGTCTTTTCGTCGGAGGAGCGACGATTTGATGCGTGATAATGTCTTGATTCGTCGATCCTTTGATGGAGGGACGTAAGCTCGTTTCAAGGTTGGAAAATTGATCAAGGAATTCGATTTTTTATAGAAATATGACCGGCAATGGCCTGATCATTGCAATTGATCGACAAAGTTAAAGAAAGAGAAGACTAAGAAAAAATATAGCGATCCTATTGATTGACACGGCCGATTATTGAAGACTGCGGTCCGCTGTCCAAGACAGGGAAAAAGTAGGATTCGCCAAGGAATGACAAAATGAACGTATTTCTACCAAACAGAACTATGTGCATTAAGACATGAGTCCTGAGACCCATAAGTGTATGCGCATTACAGGGCTCACGGCATAAATTCAGGGTTCCTGGAAAACCTGGGGAAACCTGGAAAAGTCAGGGTAAAAAAATGGCCTGGAAAACATGATAAAGTCAGGGAATTTGCTCCAAAAGTCTGGAATTTTTTCAAGTACTGAGAAAAAAAAATTAATAAGTAAACAAATAAAAATAAAAGAATTAAAATTGAAATTGCAATTCCTTCGTTGTATTTTGAATTTTCCGCCGACTCATCCTCTTTATCGGCATTCGGAACGAATCGGAACTACTCGGAAGTGTTCGGTGGCTCCCCCTGCAGGTCAGCCATAATGATGGGGGCATATTGTGCGACCGGTTGCGTCTAATGATAAAAGAGATCGCAGGAGCTAGCCACTCCTTTTCACTCCTCTTCGACAGAGGCGTGAGAAGGGGGGGCCTGGCGTGGCCCCCCTAGAATTGGAAATAATATCATCTGCCCCCCCCAGAAATTCTGGATGTTGCAAAAAGACCTTCTTCAACGGTAAGTCTCTGTCGCCGTGGCCCGTGAGAGGATGCCTATAAATAGAAAAACCTGTTGAATGCAACAATTTCAAAGTATTTTAACCTTAAAATGTAAAAAACTGGGTGATTTTTAGGTATAAATTGAAGGAAGATTAGCGCCACAAGTGCCTCGAGATGCGCTCAAGTAGAGTTAAAATTTCAAAAATTTTCCGGAACCTTACAATGCATAAAACTGGGTGATTTTTAGGCAGAAATTGAAGGAAGATTAGCGCCACAAGTGCCTCGAGATGCGCTCAAGTAGAGTTAAAATTTCAAAAATTTTCCGGGGGAGGCCCCCCGAAGTCCCCCCCTGAGCTGGGGGGTATTCCATACCCCCCAGTGGTGGGAGGCCAGGCCCCCCCCCCTAGCAAAATGACCTAGCTACGCCTATGCTCTTCGATCGGGTAACCCTCAATCTTCAATGTAAAAGTTTCAAGTACACTCACTAGGATATCTTGCGCTTAGGTGAGAACTATGTCTGCATGCTAAGGTAGAGGTTATTTTTTTTGTAACTCTGCCTTTTTTCCCTGGACAATACGCTCATTTAAAAAAAATATATATGCATTTCTCAGTTTTTTTAAGAATAGTTCTTAATAGTCTGCAGAACGAAGACTGCAGGTTGGATTATTTTTTAAAAGAATCTGTTCAGTGCTCTTTTCCTTAGCATAGCAGCAATACCATGATGGGATTTATTTTTCAAATCCAATACTATACTATGAGTAAATGAAACAAATTGAAAAATCATTTGCTTTCACCAATGCGTGTATCGTTTAAGAAGGCGTTTATATTTCGCCAATTTTTTTTTCCAACACATTTTAAGTTTTTTTGTGATTTCATTCGTGCTATGATACTATCCTAGCCTCTCCGATGTATGCCAGACGGCAGTTTCCGGGGCCGCAAACGGATCTTCAAGGAAGTCCTGCCCTTAAAAACTAGCCTTCTTTTCTATTTTTTCTTTTGAGGCCTCAGTCCCTATGTCTTTACTTTTTTTATTATCAATTATGTTTTCATCCATTGTATGAACAGAATTTTTTGTACTAAAGTTGTATGCGGCAAATAAACAAAAAAAAACTATCCTAGCCTGATTTTCCTAAAAAAAAAGCTGAACCAGATCAAAAATTGATGAAAATAGAGGAGTCTTTACAAAAACCGAAAAATGCGCGCGCTGTCTCTTTTAGGGCAAATTATTTGAGTTTTTTCCACGGAAAAAGGCCTGGAAAATTTTTCATTTTGGCCCGGAAAACCTGGAAAAGTCAGGGATTTTTTTTCCAAAATTGGCTGGAAACCTTGGCTTTGGAAATCATTAAGTTTGATACGGAACCACCCTTAATAATTACAAAACACACATTATATTTTTCTTTACTACATTTTTTTTTCATCAATTTAAATGAGAATAATCCATACAGGATGTGCAAACATTTCAAGATCATGAATGAAAAACTCAGACTCCGCGAGATTAAATATTAGAGCCTAACACAAAGCGGAGCGGCGACGCACTGGCGACTACAAACCTAACAGGGATACTTCACGCATTGCGCAATGCGTGAAGTATCCCCGTTAGGTTTGTAGGCGCCAATGCGCGTTTCGACATGGCTGCCCGCCCGTCGCGCCGCAGCGTACCACAGTGCTTGAAGCAACTATTTCCCACCAGAGGTATTGCACAGTATCCTATGAAATTGAAGGCGCTCCAACATATTAGGAATGGCAGGCATCTTTCAAAAGTACGGAGCTTTCCTCGCAAAATAAATCAAGATACTACGGCCCAGAAAGAGAGCGGTAGTCCAAAACCCACTAAGTCCTAGCATCCGTAATTAGTGACGTTCAGCATGCACTTTATCGCTTGGCTGTTGCTTGATCTCCATCGGCTGTAAAAGGCTATAACACATCGTATCGCCGGCTACCTATAGGAACTATAGCCCGGCTGTATAATGTTTTATCGCTTCGTATAGCCCGGTTGTATGATTTTATGCGCTTTCTACGGCCACGGCCAGCTATATGATTTCCTATCGCTTTCTATAGCTGGCGATAAAGATGTATGTTGTAACGCAGCTCCTACAGCCAATTTTCATCGAGGCACTTTTCCCCCTTTAATTACCTGTCACCTTGCAATTTTTAATGGAGAAGACATTAGATACACAGCTTCATTAAAATGAGTCATATTTAGACCAGGTTTTCTAAGAGGTATCTGTTAAAAAATTTGCGAGTTTTCTTTCGAAGGTTTTTTTTTTATCAGCCGTAGCCACCACGGAAACAGATTAAATGGTAGAGTACCTATTAGCTCGAAAGTCAGGTTAAGCTTCGAGCTTAAATGCGTGCAATACCTAAGTGGCGATAAGACATGCCGCCCCCCTCCCCTTTGAATTTGAAATGGTAGCATCCAGAACTACTGACTCCCTGAGAAAACCTGCACGATAGAAAAAATCTAATCGCGGAGCTGGTACATTTCCTCGTTTCGTTGCATAATGCAGCAGGAGAAAAGAAAAAAATGGAGATTTTCTTAAGATTATTGGTAGTGTTAAACTTTCAATTTGCATACGGCCAACATGGAAGGCGCAAAGTGCTCTCGACTCCTTGAGAGACAATTCAGTCAGTCAGAACGAAAACACACCGACTCGCAAAAATGAAAATAATCAAGATATATACAAAACTACACAGAAGTTAGTCTAAGAAAAAGATTTTTGGTGCCCTAAGGCAAGTATACCTAAGGACACTTTAAATATCCAAGTCGGAACAGATGCGGTAACTTCCACGCCCTTTATGAAAATTGGTCTGTCTTTAATGAAAAGTGAACATTTTCCAGGTACCGAGTTGGTTTGTTTTCGTTCTCACTCATTCAATTAAAAGGCTTGGAGGACATGGCGCGTAAGTGCAGTTTTTGAAAAAATTGAGAAATTAATGATCTGGACTTATTTCTATCAAACGGACCTAAGCGCCAAAGGGTGAGGAAGGTAGAGGGGGGCTTGGATTGTCGGCGGAATCGGGCGTCCGGCTTATTCCGTCCTATACTCGCAATGATTTTCCATGGCGCTTAGATCCGTTTGACAGAACGCGCTATCCGGGATTCTGAATTCCTCATAAGGAACTCAAATTGGCGCTTAGTTCCGTTTGATAGAAATTCGTCCATTTCAAGTTCAACTTCTCAATGCATATCCTGTAAAAATTCGCTCCCAAATTCAAATTTTTAAGCATCAAAAAGTCAGTTCGAGCTTTCTGTCCGACATAAGGATCCATGTAATCACGAACTTTAAACACGTATATTTCTCGAAATAGCAAAAACTTCACTTATGCGCCTTGTCCTTCAAGCCCCTCGATAAATGGAGATGTTGCATGTGTGCGAGGAATTTGCGATTTGACTGTTGATTCAGAAGTCAAAGTTCGCGAGAAACACGATGGTGCCACTGGTTTTCTCTGAAATCAACTCCCAAGCTCAAAAAAAGCTCTCAAGTTGAGGCCAAAATGGAGGGGATATCCCACGCTATCCTGAGAGTCCACCTCTACATCAAGACAAACTCTCCATGCAAAGATAGGGAGCAAATACATTGACAGGGCTGCCACTTTATTGGGAGACTCTAAAACTGAAAACACGACAACCCTGCTAATGTATTTGCTCCCTATCTTTGCATGGAGAGTTTGTCTTGATGTATATAGAGGTGGACTCTCAGAATAGCGTGGGATATCCCCGCCATTTTGGCCTCAACTTGAGAGCTTTTTTTGAGCTTGGGAGTTGATTCCAGAGAAAACCAGTGGCACCCTCGTGTTTCTCGCGAACTTTTACATAAGAATCTACAGTCAAATCGCAAATTCCTCAGGCATGCAACATCTCCATTTTCGCATGATCCCCAGAAAGCATGGACTTACATGTTAAACAGGGCCCGTGTGGAAATCGAGATACGCCCTTCCGTCGGAGGAGCGAGGAATTATCCCCTCTCAAGTTGTTGAAATGATAGGTGGATCCTAATGAAATTTGCGTGATGTTGCAGCTAGAAACAGGCAAAGAACAATCTCTTCCACACGCTTGGTTAATAATATATTCAGTGGTAGACAAAGCGAGCTTCCAGCGGGCAGAGGATGACCTGACCAGACTCCAAGACTCGGACTTGCTCAGGACACGGCCCACGATTTTGGTAGGGAATAAAATCGACCTCGCGCGAAGTAGAGCCGTATCCACACAAGGTAAGTTCCGAGTCACCCTTACCTACTTTAGCGGGTCGATTATTGAAATTTATAGACAAAGCTATAGACAAAGAAGACATAAGGAGTGTAGGGCGACCCTATTGGTTGAAATGGACGGTTCTTTATAGACTAAGGGGGTAAATGATGGACTAACTATCGGGTCTCTCGTGGGTTGCCGTTAGTTAGTCTATTACCTACGTCCTTTGTCCATTGCAACCACCCACTTCCACCAAAAGGATCCCTCCATATCATTTATGTCTTCTTTGTCTATCGCTTCGTCTATCAATTTCAATAATCAACCCGCTGCCCTTCTCATTCTTCCACCTCTCGTTCAGTGTTCGAAACTTACCTTTGAGTTTTAGGAGCCAAGTGGCGCATCAAGCCCGATTTTTAGGCGCCATCGAAGATTTTTTAGGGGCCAAATTGACTTTTTGCCTATATATTACGGCGCATTTAGTGAAAATAGTTAGATGCAAGATGTTTTCGTAACAGAATTAGTAAGTATAGCTGTAACTCGGGGAAGAAAAAAGCACAAAGGATGAAATCGTGAAGAATAGAAAAAGCTTTCACTTGTAATGCTGAAGATTAATAATCTAAATTGGTTTATGAATAATTGAAAATTGAATAATCACCTGATATGAATTTTCAGATTTTTAGGGGGCAATTTTTAGGGACCACGTTGGCGCATAGCCTTCATTTTTTGGGCGCCATGACCGATTTTTTAGGCGCATTTGGCGCGTTGGCGCCTGTGAGTTTCGAACACTGCTCTCGTTTTTACCCTCTCTGTATAGGGTGGTTGCAAGTCCGGAATTTCCGAAAAGAGTACTGATTTTTTAAGGGCGATCAGGAAGGACTGAAAAAGTGCGGAATTTCCACAAGAAGCTCCGGAATTTTATCATTTTTGTCGCAATTTGAGCAAGGATTTCAAAATTTTGAATTCATCCGAATTTCGTCAAATGGAGGTACTGAAAAAATACTGAATTATTCTGTTGAGGGGGTACTGAATTTTTTGGGAATGCACGGAAAAAGTACTGTAAAAGTACTGATTTTTGGCCAGTCTGTTCTAGTAGACACCCTGCTAGAGGTCTGCTTCAGGTACACTGAGAAAAATGTTTGTGTTCTTTTGGTTAGTGTGGAACGTGAAACACAAACCGACCCGAAATTCTTGTTGATTTCGGTATACAGTTCGTGCTGGATTTACGTAGCACAAGAAAACTGAAAAAGGGGGCAACAGTATGCAGGATTGACCGAAGCTTTTATTGCTTTGTGTTTCACTTCCCATATTTATCAAACTTTCTTGTTAATTTTTCTTTCCATGCATTGATATCTATGATTTTTCGGTCACATGTAATGCTAAAAAAAATTGATCATGAATGTTACAAACTTGGGACTGTGGTCTAACTGAGACTTGGAAAGTCTTTCTTGCCGCTTTCCAGAGAAGAAGCAGGTCAAGAGTTTCCCAGGTCTGTGGACTGATGATTATAGAGATTCTAGTTTTTTAATTTCCTGCTGGTGTTCCAGAAAAGCTTATAGCTATTTTTTTAAAACAACTTTTCATGTTGCTTTTTGAGGAATGCATGTTTTAAGGAAAATTAGTTTTTTCTGAAAAATTTCCGGAAAATGAATTTCCTAAGTGTAACGTACCTATTAACTTCCAGAAACCCCATATAGGATAACGCACAATCATACCGAGGTAATACGGATTTTTTTTCCTTTGAAGGAAAATTTTCTCTCTCCTTTGTAGCTATTAAAAGAACTCCCTCAACGGTCTGCAAGTGGCAACTCTAAATTCTCATCAAGAATGCATGTAAAACTTACTGTGCAAAATTTTTTGTTTCAGATGGAAAATGTTTAGCTTGTACATTTCGGGCCAAATTCATCGAAATATCAGTGGGAATCAATCACAATGTAGATGAATTACTAGTAGGAGTTCTCACACAAATTCGACTGAAACTGGAAAATGCTGGTCGAGAAGGGTCCAGTAGTGCCCATTGGTACAAAAATAGGGGTGTCATTCGAGCCAGTATGAAAGCACGACAAATGTTCACTTGGATTTTCGGCAAAGAGGACTCAAAATTTAAAAATTGCGAGAACCTCCAGATTTTGTAAATAATGTAATTTAATTCTGCTACTTTGTTTCATTCAAATTCACTGTGTTTCTAATCTTTCTTATAGGAAACACCCATATCTAGTGCTAGGACGAAATGCAAACTTGTACTTTGCATATCTACTTCTGTTTTATCCTAATAGATTTTTTTCGGCAATTACAATCCTTTAAACAGTAAAAGATTATTTAAGTGCTTACATATCAAGTGCTTGTAAACTCTAGAACTTGTATCTACACAGTACCTGCACATGTATGTATGTGTTACAGACAGATCCCAACTCCTTGGATGATTAGAGTCCACCATATCAAAAGAGGACAGCTCCAGTAGAGCCAGTGACTCAATTTTTCAATGGTAGGGTCACCCAACCGGTCCCTTTTATTGGGCAAATTCTTATTTTCCAATATGAGGCAAACATAAATTAAGTCAGCGTAACTTAAACAAATTTACGTGATGTTATTTGAAAATTAACGCTCAACTGTGCTTCCATGTATTAGCCATGTTCTGTAAAGCAAGGTTACAATGAAAGTGAATTCGGCTCCTAATGGACCAGGTTGGTTCTTATTTATGCAGACTTAACCCAGCAGCAAATCCATGTGCATCACTCAAAAATCATCAAGACAAGGGATGAGAAAGCGACTAAGATGAGAACATTAAACAGGAACTTTCTAAGATGTTAAGTATCTCATGGTGACAAGCTACCTTCCCGAAGAACTTTGATGTAGAAATTCGCTCAAAATTTCTGACAAGTAATTGGAACATTGAGTACTAAAGTTCTTGAGAATTTCCATTCCTGCTGTGTACCTTTTCTGAAAATGTTCTGTCCTGGATCTAGACTCCCTTTTCAAAATTTTTCGCTGGGCAACTTCTAAAGATTGAAACATTGTTATTATAAGTATGGGCAGCTTTAGGTCTGCAAAAACAGATTTAAAATGGCTCATTGAAAATTTAATAGATTCAGACCAACCGCGGCAAAATAGCAGGTGTGTCTAAATCCATACAAATAGATTTTTCGTCCAGAAACTGGGATCCGTCAATATCTTATGTGCAAGAATTGTGAGTACCTATTGCATAGAAATTGCAATGATTTTACTCTTTCTCTGAAGGAAGCAAACTTTGAGGAACACACCTCAGTACTACAACAATACAAATGTTAATTTTGAATTTTGCATGGTTGAAGCCATGAAATTTAAAGTTTTCATATAAGTTAGATGCCTAAAGGTCAAGAAAGACAGAATGAATGATTTGCCGCTATGAATTAATTTCTGTGTTAAAAAGGAAATGATCTGTTTGAGAATTTTTAAATAGTTGAGGAAATTCTCTTATTATGAGAATTGTTCTAAAGATGATGAGATTTTCCAATTGTGAGAAATTCTTCCGATTCCTTCAATTCAAAAGTTCGCATTCAGTGGAAAAAACGAAAGTCAGTTGTCTATCTTAACAACTTATGTGTCTAATTTTTTCTATTAGTATTAAATTTTGATGGCTTCTTTCATTCTTAATAATAATATAAAATCATAATTAAGAATTAGTAAATAAATTGTTAAAGTCAAACCCACGCAGAGGAGTAAACTTGTAATGATTCATTTAATGTTTAAGGTCATTATGATCTAGATCTTGGGTTTACTCTCAATAATAAGCAAAGAAATCAAATGAAACGTTCAATAATTCTCTCTCTTCCATTTTTTCACCGAAATATCCAATAATAATATAAGAAAATAACTTCACTTTAAACAAAATATACGCATACATGAGAAATACTTGCACACTGACTAATCCTCATGAAGTGTGAGTAAAATGTCTTCTGCATGGAGGAAAATACAATACAAACGTGGTCCTGATACTGCGAGTTAATGGGGGGGGGGGGTGTAGATGAATTCAGGATTTTTACCATCTAAAGGGGAAGTCAAACCCCAGAAGTCCAAAAATTAGTAACAAAGTTACTGAAATAAACTCCAAAGCATCAATGCAAAACTCCTCTCTCTCTCTCTCTCTCTCTCTCTCAAAAAAAAATTGAAGTATAACTCCCCAAATTTTCTACCTATAGCAAAACTCTTGTTCAGTTTTGTACTGAAACACATTAGGAGAATTGCGAACTGGATAGAATTAATTTTGTAACTCCGATTCTAATGTTCAGTATTTTTGGCCTTGAATTCACCTCAAAATAGTATAAACCCAGCTTTATCCTACACCATCCTCCTTTATACTACCTTCTGTATACTGACTTCCAAAAGTAGGTATTCCAAAAACGTGCCAAAAACGACCTCACATAACTTATCCAGTAAAATGCATCGCATATGTTTTAGACACCTTGATTACAAAATTCTTTGCAACAGCTGTGCCAGTTTTTTCATCGATGCACCGATGACCAGGCTATAGAGCCAAAGACTATAAGTACCTGAGCAAGAATGAAATGAAGCTTGCACAGGTTATTGTGTAAATGTAACTAAATAAACATTATCCGAACTGGAAGATTTTTAATTACTTTTGACATTCAATATCATCATTCATTTTTGTTCTCTTTCACTATTCGCATAAGGTTTTATTTTTTTTTGTTTCTTTTGTGCTGTTTATCTTACTATAACCAATAATTAACGAATTGATTTGGATTTCATGAAGGTTTTGTTCATGTGTTATCGTTATGTTTCATTTTATATTTTATTAATATTTAAGTGTTTAAATAGAGAACTGTTTTTTATGTAATTCATTTTTATAATTTATTTAATAAATTTCAAACAAATTAACTGGTTGCCTCTTTTTTGAATGATTGAATTGAAGCCCTGTTGCTTCCTATAAAACATCAGGATTTTTTTTTTTTTTACAACCTCAACATAATTTTCAGCTGTTAACATTAGTAATTTTCAGAATCTGAATGAAAATTGATGGCAAAATTGAAGTAAAATTTAACACTTTCATCTCAAAAAAAATACTGGGTCTTCGGCAGTCATAAAGTGGTGTCTGAAGATCTGTAACTAAATGAAAGAATCAAATAGTTACAATTTACAATTACTTACAATTTAGTTAGATTATAGTTGATTAATCAAATTGACGAGTTCCTTAGTGGCAATGGAATTAGAGAGCCACAAAAAACTGGAGAGACAACTGAGAGAACACTGTGAGAAACTGTACTAATTATTTCACCTATACTAAGCTTTCAATTCTTTTGAAGAAAAAGAAAAAACCGAAAAAAACTAGTTTTAGTTTTGAATGGTTTTTATCAATAAAATATCAATGACAAAACTTAACACTCTTCCAAGTTTCGTGTCATAAAAAACTGATCAACAGTTAAATTTCTGTGATCTTTTCGCTGTTGGAAGGGCATTCTAAGAAACTTTGAGAAATAAAGTTGGAAAAAAAATTATTCTATGTAAAAATATGAGTGTGGCGTGAATTTTAGATGGTCTCAAGCAAGACATTTCCTCAATGATCCTCTATGCATCAATAAAAAGAAATAGTTGGAAGTTCCAAATATAAACATAAAGCATTGCACATTTCTTTTTTTTTTTTTAAAAAAAAAGAGGAGGGGGTGAAAAAGGAAAAATTTGATGATAATTTATTGGATGTTAGTGCGTGAGATGAGAATGTGCATTCTAGGTGAGAAGTGCTTTGGATGCACAAATTGGAAAACAATTCCATAATTGAATCAGTGAGTTCAAAAACACACCAACTCGGAAAAAAAAATTGTTCAGGAAACACCTAAAACTGCGCAGCTGGGGAAGAAGTTAGTTTAAGAAAAACCTTTTTGGTGCCAAAGGACAAGTACTTAGAGACTTTGTAAAGCACCAAGATGAAATCGATACACCATGTTTGATGACAGAGAATTAGGTGTTTAAAATTTTCCGAGTTGGTGTGTTTTTGTTCTCACCAACTTTCAGATACTGATTTTTCATAGTCTGCCTCGAAAAATTTATATTTTTCGACCTGAATAACGCTTGAATATTTATATAACTTGTTGCTACAAGGTATTGAAAAAAGAAAACCGCAAAATTGGATGGTTACCCTTTCCCTTGAGATGGCAAAAAATTGGTATTTCCAATGAAATACTTCAATTCTTCTCTTTTCCTGTCGTTGTTTCAAGCACTTTGGATTGCAATTTCGAAATTTCCTTTTGCGTGCTGCAGATGCCTCTACCCATAAGTGTTACTAAACCACGAAAAAGTTAGAATCAAAAAAAAACCTGAGTTGGTGTGTTTTCGAACTCACTGATTCAATTTCGAAAAGACGCATGGAATGATTAAATATTAAATGGCAGCTTATGACATGAATGAACTTTGAACTAGAATACTGCAGTGAAGAAAAGCATTGTAGTGGTCAGTTTTTGCGCCAAGTCTATGCAGAACTAAGTTTCACTCAAGATGAACAGTATTTTGTTTCTTTCAGAAACCATGATGTTTTCCAACTCCTTTCACCATGATGCTTTTCTGATTAGAAGAGGGTACTTAACTGTCGAACTGTACTTAAAACTCCCAGAACTTAGCTTTTTCTTCAGGATCCATCCCACAGGGGCATGGATCCTGGCATGAGCATGGTTATACCTATTGAGAGTGAAACGACTTGATCCTCAATAAAATAAAGGAGTTCATTAAACATTACGTAATTTGAAAAGAGTTTTGAGAAGAAAGGTTTATTCTCATTGTTAGCAACTTTTTTTAAAATAAAAAAAAGAACTTTAACAAAAATATTAATGATAAAGAAATTGGACCGAGTCTAACAACAATGCACTAAGACACATCAAGTTTGAACTGAGGAAAGGACACCGTTAATTTTTTTGGCTGACATGCACTAGAATTCAGTTTAAAAGCGAAATTCTCAATAAAGAGGGGTAGAAACCTGCGCGAGCAACATTTCCCTTAAATACTGAAAAAAGCAGGTTTGAAGTTTTCTCCTCCCTCGATGAGACTCAGTATGATGAAAATCGACTACTTTTATATTCAAAATATTCTTTCTCAACATTGAATTTCAGACTGGAGATTATGAGTTGATTGAATTCAGAACTACCTACTTCTGACTCATTCATCCAAAGTGTGACTTGGTGCATTCTTGTTTAGCTCCATCCAATTTACAATCAATACAACAGAATTCTAAAACTACATCTAATTAATCTTATGAATTATACATACTTCATGACCTCATTATCAGTACAAGAGCAAAACTTATGCCAGTTGATAACCGGAGATAGACTCAAGTGTGTTCACCTTCAAAAATTTGAGCTCATGTTACTTTTCTTCTGCCTTCTTGAATTCTTTTGAAAATGAAGTTGACAAGTTTAGTTCACTTTGAGGGGAGGAAACAAAAATTTAAAGTAAAAATAAATAAAAAATCAATATTCCTACGCAGAATCCTGAGTTGAGGTATGAGGATGCTTATCGCCTTTTGGTTTCAGTCTGCGATCTAATCTGTGCTGAATTGCATCTTGTTCTGCTTTGAGTTTTGCAGCAGATTCTGCTTTCACAGCATCTAGTTCTTTGGAGTACTTACATATTGTTTTCTAAATAACAGAAAACCAAAAAAGGAAAGAATGAGAACCAATCAGATAAAAATAAAAACAAGCGGGAGAGCTCTAATACATCCATATTACAGAATTGCGCTCAGCTGTTTTCTATGTAGGTGCATTTTTAAGTTCCCTGAAGAAGAAGAAGAGCACCATTGAGATGAAAGAATTTGCTCACCAAAATTTGAAATGTCAATTTTGAGAAAACTGCACTGCCGATAACAGAATAAATGTTAGAACTATCGTCCTCTGTGTTTTGTCATCAGAAGCATCAAAAATAGGTATCATAGATTAATCTATTCTAATATCTTAGGGCCCCTCTTCACCATCATGTTGTTGAGGCGATGCGCCATTTGAAGGCATTGCCACTAGTATGCTAGAATTCTAGAGGTAGGTTTAAATCCAAGAGCACTCCCTGTCGGCTGAGCGCTTCAAATGAACCCATGAACCACTTGAGAATAGATATTTGGGTGGATCAGAAAATAAGCCCTGGATTAAAATTTTACCAGATTTTCAAAAATCCTGAAAAAAAGCTGTAATCTCCCTGATTGTTTAGGTATCCCTGCAATTTTTTTGGGGCGTACATTGACAGAATTACGTTCATTTGCATATGATGTGTTCTGAACGTGGTCAGCTGGCTTAGAAAAGACAGGTCCTCAAGATGTTCCTTCGAACTATCATGTATTTTTTTCAACAAGACCAATTGGTTGACATAACGCAAACTTCTATCGATAAGTTATGCTTGTAGATCCTACCAATGCTCTCGGCGATGACTTGACCTCCAACGATTCCATGTAACTTGATCAGACATTTTCCTGTCAGCATTTTTCATTTCCTCAGGCTGTAAGGTTGAACCGGACCTTTAGAGGAATAAATCTATAGGCTACCTAAGTTATTGCAGGAAGCATTTTATTGATGAACAAGGAGGGCATATGAAATAAAATTTGCCTCATGAAAATTTTTTGTGTATAACTAAATTTGGCTGCCAAAAAATGGAAGAAAGTGTAGCCAAACATCCTTAAAGTCTTCCGTTTGTAAATTTTGATGGAAATTAAAAAAAAATACAGTGCCAATTTGTGTAATTTTTGCCACATAAAGATCGCAGTTAAATAAATTAATTAGAGAAGCTAGGCAAGAGGAATACCAATGGAGTCAATAAAGTGCGAAACAAGCAAGTTGTTCTTGTGTATTAGGAATCTGATGGAGAAGTGCAATTGAGGGGATGAGGTTCCGGAGGAATGGAAAGAGTCATGGATCACAGCTCCTCATAAATGGGACGGAAGAAAGATGGCAAAAACTACCGAGTTTTGTGGGTGACAAGATGCGAAAGATCTACAGGAAAATTTTGAAAGCGAAGATGGAGGAAGAATGGAAGCCCAATGAAGTAGAGGAGCAGGCTGGGTTTAGAGCCCATGGATCGACAGTTGACAATTTGTTCTGTGTCACTGAGATTGTTGAGAAAAGAATGGCAGAAGGATAAGAGCTACATTTAGTTTTTGTAGATCTTCAAAAAGCCTTTGATAGCATACCGTTGCTGAAACTCTGAGAAGCCTTGGCAAAATCTGGTTTTAGTGAGGGCCTTATCGTAGCGATTACGCGGTCTTACAGTGGCGCTTTAGCTAAAATTTGTTGTCAAAGGAGATTTACCGAGGGTTTTTGGGTACACAAGGGATTAAAGCAGGGTTGTTGTCTCTCGCCGACTTTGTTTAAAGTTTCCTGGGAACATGTTTTAAAAGAATGGAAAAGGAAGTGTTCTGGCATGAGCGTCCCTTTAACTGAGATAGACACTCTTTTCACTTTGCATTTTGCTGATGACCAAGTGGTTGTTGCTCAGAATGCAGAAGATGCGGAATACATGGTTCGAAAGTTGGTTGTCGAATATCACAAGAGGGGCTTAGAAGTCAGCATTCAGCAAGTCAGCAAAACAGAAAAGTTAACGGTGAGCAGTGATCAGCAAAGCATAGAGTTAAAAGATGGCCAGGAAATCAGAGGTTGTGAACAATACAAGCGCCTAGGTGTGCGCTTAATATCAGATGGCAACTTTAACCAGGCAATCAAAAATTCAGAAAAATCTGAAAGTTTTAGGCGGGGTAAAATCTCATAATAGAAACTCCCTTGCACAAATCAGCCTCCTTCTTCTTCTTGTATCTCTTTCTTCACATTTCAGCATTGGGAAATCAGAAATGGGTGTACTGGAAAACATATTATGGCATATGATTCCTTCCAGTAAAGGGGAAAACTTACCACAAATTCTATTTGCTGTTTAATTCTTATGGTTTGCCCCATACCATAGGGAGCAAGGCGGCCATCCACATATGAAAAGTCTGGATCGTCCCGAAATTCTTTAGTCTGGTTTGGTTGGACAGTTAATCTAGAGGGCCTGATAAGAACATAGGAAATGAAATGCAAGGATGAAATACAGCTTTTATAAATTCATTCAGTATTGATTGTGAAACCGCAGGAACGCGTACCTTGTTTGCAGTGTTTCAAAATCTCTCCTTCCATTTTTAATTTTACGAAAGGGGAACAAACCAACACTATTGCTTGAAATTTTCTCAGAATATTTTTCGCACAAAGAAGAATAATCAAAGACGTTTTCAAGAAACAGAGCTTGGTATTTTCCTATCTACTTGAGAAGAAAATATAACAGGAAGTCTGCAATGCTGCAAACCGAGATATGTATTCCTGCAATTTCACCGTCCATAGACCAACGATATTTTGCTCAGGGCAAAGTCAAATAGATACATGTTAAGTATTACACCTGTTTGATACTTGGAAAATTGCTAAGGAAAAAACCTGGTAATGAACCCTAATAGTGAAACACTTCCATGTTGGCAAGCTGGAGTTATGGAAGCTACAGCTGCCCTTTTTCATTCATACTGACTGTTTTTTGTAAAATGAGTTTCACTGGCTACCTGCTCCCCAGAATACTCCACAACCACTGAAAGGGCATGTAAACTGGATGACATTCAAGATTCCCTTCCATCCAGAGTCACCGTTCTTTTTCCGTTTGAGGGATTTTCATGGCTCTGAGAGTCTATACTTCCTCTATAAAAATACCCTAGTATTACCCGTGGAAACACAGCTTCCAGAAGAAATTTCTAAATTTATCTTTTAAGGGCATCTTTTGCAACTTGTAGTGCGAAATTCCTCCTCGCAAGGGGTGCCCCCAGTGTATTTTTATTTTATGGTTTACTCGAATAGAACCTGTACAGCTGACCATGAGTCTTAAATTTAAGGAACATTAAAGGAAGTCCTGCTCAAATTGAAGAGCCATAAGTTGTAGCTAGAACTGTCTTTTTTCTATTGACACCAAAACAAATAATATATTCTTTGAGGCTCAAAGAGATGATTACAGGAAAAAGTAGGATTAATTCAAACAAGTCACAAGTGGTAACTCTTACCAACTGCAGTCATCTCTCTCAAAATTGCAACCAGAACTAAGGAAAGGAAAAAATGGACAAATGTCAAACAACCCGTATGCATCAAACATCGGTTGGCCCACAGGTCAACACATACCTTTCTGTTGAATGGTGCCATTTTCTGATGTGACATATGTGCATTCTTTTCTTTCCCCAGTTCTAACTATAGTTCACGCCAACTAAATTTGTGCACTTTTGGACTGAGACACAAGTTCTGCCATCTTGCTTCTCGCAATTGCTTTCCATGTGAAAATGATGTTAGACGATTTTCTTTGGAAGTCTAAAAAGTGTGTAAACTTGTTTGGCGTGGAATCCAACACTCTTCCACTGAATAAAGTCTCATTAGTAGAGACTGTAATAAATGTTCGCTTTCACATTTAAAATTTCAAAGCTCACTTTTTATTTCATACATGTTCCGGACAGGCTGCTACAATTGGTAACTCTTAGAAGTTAATATATTTGTCGTGATGATAGAATAGCCATTTCAAAGTCAAATTTTAATAGCATAACATGGTGGATTTTCTCAGAATTAATGCTGCAGATGAACCTTAAACTTCGTCAAAATATTTGGGACTGGAAATAATTGAAGAGTCTGACGAGAAAATTCTTCTCCCTTTATGCTTTCTACAGAGAATTCCTGTTTACGTAAAGGAGATGATACACCATTGTACACCCTACATCTAAATTTTTTTGAAAGGCTTCTCAAAGACACAAGATTCATAAAAAAAACTGACTCTTGGGTCTGAGAAATGTGAGTAACCTTGAAAATATGGGAATAGTAAGCCACTTACGGAGGTTTCGGTCTTACAGCAAATAAGGTAGCGCTCGAACTTATTGGATGTTTTGGAATAGTTTGCAGCCCACCTGGAAAGAAAAGCTAATCATAAGTCAAAATAGGAAGTAAATACAAATATTGATAGGTATTTCAATCAAAGAAGAGAGTGCAAAGGAAAGTCTGCATTGTCACGAACCAAATGATGTGGCTCCTTCATCCAGCCATTGACATGTCGAATGTGCAGGAGAAGTCAGAGAGAAATAATCAGTGATTCAATGTTTATTGTATTTGCAGTATCAACGCAATAACATACAGCTTTTCACAATGTACAAATTGGGACTTTTAAATCGGCGATAATTCTGTAATTACTCAGGCAGACCTGCATAGAAGTCTTGGAAAATCTTAAGATCTGCTTTGAGAAGTGTCTCGATCACATGATTTGTACATTCAGAGATCATAAGGTTGGCGATTGTGGTAAGACAACAATGTGGGTCTTTGAAACTTCCAGTCTATACATGTGCATATAGGAGAATCAAGGAAGAATTTTGAGAGAAACCTGTGATTCTCACTTCGCCTTAGCGGGAAATATGCTCCTTTCAAGCTGACAATGCCTGGCCCTCCCTTTTCTCCGGTCGTTTTCAGAGCCTTTTCATTATGGACCCAGCTGATCACAACCCACTAGTTGTGCATTTGAAGAGTTTAAACATCCCTACTGCACTGAGAGGCTCGAATTTATTCGTTTTACGCTAACAACACTTTATGGTGCTTTTGAGGAGTGAGGAAATTTTTAGTCTGAGATCGCGACTTCAACAAACTCTCAACGTCCCTATTTGATATGAACGTTCAGTGTGGTATCAACATTTCATTTTTGTTTTGGTGGATGTGCTTAAGGGAGAAATTAACATCAAAAGTAGCTTACCTCTGGAAAGAAACAAAAAACTGCGTTTGACTAACATTCTCTTGCCAGTTACTTCACGCAACTTCTGGGCTATCTGTTACTATCACCCTGGAGCACAGCAAAAATTTTGATTCAAAATTCACGCCTTTTCAATTCTTTACGACATATTTAAGGGTCTACCTTGGCACATGTAACATTGGTACTTATCACGATGCTTATCACGGCCGTGTGCTTTTTCGATAAGCAAAAGAAAACATTGTATGGTACTACCGAAAACCTAACTTTCAACAGCCATCATGCGCCACATGGTTGTTGATTGTTGCATTACTTGTTGTGATTTTAGGTTACGTTCACATCTGTTTTTCCGGGAGAGCTAATTTTTGCCAATTATGCACACTTTGATTCTATAAATTTTATCTTAACGAAACTGAAAAATGTCGAGTAAACCATCAAAAATCATAGAGAAAAATGGTACCTTCAAGCATAGTAAAACTACGGGAAGATTATCTGTATGGACCAGAGCCTTCACAGCCAATTCGAAATGGCCAGATAAAGTAAGTTTCCAGAACACCTAATTTAAATTTAAATACTTTGTTGAAAATCATCCAGAACGACAAATTTCCATATAAACTATAAGCTTACTGAAAATTTAATCGGCACGGTTGCAAGTCAGACTCAAAAGCTTCCCAAGCATAGCTTTCTCAAAAATCCTCACGGGTAGCCGCTTCTCCTGCCCTCTTGGGTACATTTCAATTGCAAGGCAGAACCTCTACCTGCTTCATCACTCTTCTCCAAAGAATCGCCTCAAATTGATAAGTAACCACCTTCGTACATTTACCTTGGAGCTTTCTGACGAACTAACGTGCGATATGCTTCTTGACCCATCTAGGGTCAAAATTTGTCTCGGAAACATGGTTTGATGTATTTTGCCATGATAAGTAGGGTTTTGCATACATCAGTAATGTGTTTGTGAATTGTACCATCAATGCCATGTGTAATGTTGATTGATGATTGTGTTAGTATTTTTGTTGTAGGAATAATTTCAGTTAGAGAAACAAATTAATATTAATCATTCCTATCCACAAATTATCAGTTCCGAACCCTCTAAACCAATTGAAAGTTTATTTTTTTCTTTCTTTCTCCCACGTGGGAAAATTAACTAATTGTAAGTTAATTCTCACTAGCATATCTTTAATTTCTCTTGCTAGAAGTTTCATGGACTTGGGCAAAAGTTGCAAGATAACCTGGGAAACCATAGAATCATTAACGCACTGAACACCATGAGCATCCTTTGGTCAAATTGATATTTTACTCTGACCTTATATAGTTAGATTGAGATGACCTCAACATTCTACATCATAAGTTCCTAGATTACGACCCAGTTGCTTAAAAATTTTCCTTTGAATATTCATCGACAATGGACACTGTATTTTGTTTCTAATTTTTTTTTTTTTTTTTTCATTTCCTTTCAGGAAGAATTTTTAGATGTAATTTATTGGATTCGACAAATACTAGGAATTGTAATTGGAATATTCTGGGGTATCATTCCTTTGAAAGGATTTGTAGCTTTATTATTGTGAGTATTCTAGTTGCAATTTTTTAATTTATAGTGATCAAGGCGGATAAAGAATGGTGGTCGCATTTCGATTTTGGCTGCCATCTTGAAGCGTTGTGACGTCAGGAGGGTACGGATTTTGCCATGCAATCCGATGTTGAGTCACCCTCCCCCCCTCCCCACCCATGTGACGTTCAGAGGGTACGAAATGCGACCACCATTCTTTATCCGCCTTGTATAGTGATAGTAAAGTGCAGCTGTTGGCCATTGCTGTAGCGTTGGCTCTATAATCAGGACATCCTCTGCATGCATCTTTCAACCCAGTAATAGTAATAGGATCATTATCTCAATGAGAACAGCTCCTAATTTCTCGTGATACAACTCAATTTTTAAGAAAAATTGCCTGACTGGATCTCCTTCAAAGCTAAGAAAATCCCCTGAACCCTCCTTTGGAGCTTGAGGAGTCTCACAGTTGTTGTGGGGTGCATTTTAATGTTCCTCCCCATTCCCTCACAAAAAGTTCCTAGTTTGTCCTACGTAGTTAAGAAAATCATTCTCCAAAATAATTACTCTGCATTTAAAATAAGTGTGCTAAGCCATAGAATTTTGAAGCAAAGCACAACTTATCCCTCATCCCTTAGCCTTTTTAAAGGCTGTTTTCCACCCTCTCAACCGTGAATGCTACAAAAGGCGAACACTGCAGCCCAGCTTTGCATTATCAAAAGGGAAAGAGCATTTGAGGGGCTTTAAAGGCTAGGCGCATAAGTTCAGGTTTTGCTGTTTCGAAAAATGGTTGTTTGAAGTCACAAAATTATATGGATCCTTATGGGAGAAAGGAAGTTCAAACTGACTTTTTGATGCTTAAAAATTGGAATTTGGGAGCGAACTTTTCACAGAATATGCATCAAGACTAGTTTTACTTGAAATCATTAACATCTCAATCTTTTCAAAAATCGCACCTTTGTGTCTTGTCCTCCAAGCCCCTCATTTCATATATTGAAGGACTATGTCTCTCTCTAAATCCAGGAGTTCACTTCAAACCAGTCTAATGTATTAAAAATGAATTCGTATCAATATTTTCTGGCCTTAAGCTGCCACATTCTTTGACACCTAGCACGCTAGCAGGGCTGCAAAATGTTCTTACCCTCTATATTTTAACTTCTCTGCCTTGTAGTTTTCTACATATTTCTCACTTTTTACTCAACAAAATTACCCTCCAAACTGCAAAGTAACGACCTTTTTACTTCATCTTCTTTTTTCCCTTTTTTTGGCTTGTCAGCTCAATTCAAAGTGTGATGATAGTAAAAATTTTGAAACAGACATGGTTCTGATTGTCTACGATGGTATTCTAGGGTTAGAAATCAACTGAGAGGAGAAAGATGAAAGCATGGGAAGCATTCAATTCCCAGACATTCTGTCCCTCTTCACATTTCTCTATCCTAGAGCATAATCAGACATTTTCTGCACTCTAAAGGGCTGTAATCGCATAGATTTTTTTCAAGCTTCGTACAAATACATTCCATGTATTACATCATACTCCTATCGTGAGGGTGGAAGTCCTACCTATCATATAATTTGTTCTCTAGCCTAATTTTTTTTTTTTTTTTTCAGATTCGCCATTGTTAATGCTGGCGTTCTTTATGTTTATTTTTCAAATTTTCAAGCAATAGATGAAGAGGAATTTGGTGGAGCGTGGGAATTGACGAAAGAAGGTTTCATGACATCTTTTGCTGGTTTTTTGGTTTGTATCCATAGTATCTCTAGAATTCGCACAAACTTTGGAAAAATGACTTTTTTCCCTACTTCAAAACTTATTTCAGTGGCCTAAGAATCATTCCTTGCTCAAATAGACCAAATTAGAAACCTCGTTTTATTATTTATTTTGTTTTTCTGAAGCACAAATGATGAAAAATGTTTAGAAAAATATATCACCTTTTGCCATTGAAGAAATATGTAATTCTATGTAAGATTTCTGGATCAAATCAAATGAAATCTGCAAAGAATACATGCTTGATATTATTGATGATACGTCCTTTCTTGAAAATTGGAACCTCCTTAATTCACTTTTCTCCATTGATTTTCAAGTGCTCTCCTGCAGGCTATGCTTTTTCAAGCCTCAAGCATCAACTATCCTGGCACCCAATCATATTATGGAGGAATTCAGGGCTGAAAATTAGATTTGAGCACCTTTCTTATGTGTTACTTTGTATCTTTCAGGTGACATGGATAATCGTCTATTCTGGGTTGCACTTTGACTGATGATCTCAACCTCTTGACGAAAGGCAAAAAATAATTGTTATGACCGCCATCTGTTGCGCGACCGATTTACTGAATTTTCATCTTTTTTAGGGAGCCTGCGTCGCCTGCTTCCCATTTCCTGGTTGTGCTCTCTGTGAGAAAATAAATGCCACTTTATAGTCCCTCTTTTTTAAGCTTTTGTAATTATTTTTTTTGTACCCATTTCTATTTTAAGTCTGGTTTTGGGGTCTCTTTACATAAAACCAAAGTTTCATCATATAGCAGTCATCATAAGAAACATAAATTTCCATAAAAATGTATTTTTAGCTGTAATTCAACATCATCTTATTTACAGTTTACCCACTTGAGTAATATTGAAAAAGCATGAATTATAGCTGAGCTGTGTATTTATCATTGTATTTTTATCTGATAAATTTTTATCAATTTAAATGGTTTATCTCTTTTTGCTGTGTTCCAGTTTCCCCACATTCCTACAAAATGTTGTTTTGAGAGGTTGTGTGACAGTGGCATGGCGTGCTTTGTAATAAATTGATTGATCTGTTATTTAAACCTATGAAAAAGGATCGATACACAAGGTGTTCGCAACGAACACCTTGATAATCAATTCTTTACGATAAGTTTAAATGGGGAAATATTGATAATCCATCATTCACGCCTCTCCACTTATGTACAAAGCTCTTTTTCTTTAATGCTAGCCCACTAACCTTCTTATAGTTGTATGAATTTAAAACATGCTCAATGCAAATACACATATAGGGAAACAACTTAAAACGGGACTAAGGCCGCAAATGATAAAAAAAAGGAACACATAAAATAAAATAAGAAACACGGGACATTTCGCAGGGATCACACCTGCATTTTCAACCGGCAAAACAAGAAAAATTAAAAGAAAGGAGACTAAATACGGGTGTAATCCCTGCGAAACGTCCCGGGTTTCTTATTTTATTTTATGTGTTTCTTTTTATTATTTGCGGCCTTAGTCCCGTTTTAAGTTGTTTCTCTGTTAATGTTTCGAGCCGATTAAGTTGTTTTTTCTCATACACATATATAAAGCCACTCTTATATTGCTCTCTGACGCTCTACAACATCCAACCTCCACAGCACTGTGTCCTCTCTCAGCCCTCCAGGGGGTTAGCACTCCCTCATTTAAAACCCCCACAGTAATAACCCTAAAACGACACAAAGAAATCAGTTTTTAATCAGAGGCTACTTATCGTGTAAAAATATTTGAACTCAGACATAATAATATAAATAAATTTAATTAAAAATCATCAAGAATATATCTTACAAACAATATATTTACATTCTTTGTTCAGGATTAAAAATCAGAGTCAGACTCGGATAGCTGAAGGTCTTGTGAGAGGATTTGCTGGGAAGGCAACTTAGAAACAGGGGAACTTGTGGGCTTGGAATTAAGATGTCCTGTAAAAAATAGAGAAGATGACACGTCAGTTCCTTTAATAGGCAAGACCGATGAAACAACTCAAAGAGTAATTCGACTAGTAGTATAAAATGGGGTGTTTCAAGAAAAATTGGACGTATTTCTGTCAAATGGAACTAAGCGCCATCGAGGTAGGAAGGTAGAGGGGGGCTTGGATTGGCGGCGGAACCGGGCGTCGGGCTCATTCGTTCCTATACTCGCAATGCTTTTCCATGGCGCTTAGTTCCGTTTGACAGAACGCGCTATCCGGGATTCTAAATTCCTCACAAAGGAACTCAAATTGGCGCTTAGTTCCGTTTGACAGAAATACATCCAATTACAAACCTCATCTTACTATCTACTGATTCTTATTCTGTATTATAGTGAGAATATGGGTGCTCCTCTTCAAATGCCCCTGCTGATAATGTATGTCCCAGTAGTTATTAAACTTTTCTGATAAGGGGCATCGAAATAAATAATGTATTTTACTGACGTCAAAATACACTGACACCAAGTGCACCGAATTTGATCCGAACAAACAAAGCCTCTTTGAATGCTTTCCATCAGAATTATTAAATACCGACTGAAAATTGGATATTATGGCAGAATGATCAGCTGTACATTGTTTCTTGAAACTCCCTTTGCAGATTAGTTATTTCTGTTTTGTGATGTTTGAGCGATCGCAAAATATACTTCAGGGTTGCCACAGTCAGGGAATACTTGGAAATGTTGAGGAATTTTTAAATGTCAGGGAAAATGATAATTGTGTCTCGAAAAAATTGTTAAATCACCTTTCTTTGCACTCTTGAATGGTTTTGACGTCCACATAAATTTTGACTGAACACTATTTCAAATTATGTCTTTTTAACAGATCTGGCATACCTCCGAAAACCTGGGAACCTGGGAAATTGACCGAAATGTGTCCGGCAATTTCAGGGTGTTTCATTTTCATAATTCTGTGGTAACCCTGGTCCTACTTATGCTCTAAAACTGTTGAACTTTCAGCAAATAGGCCTCAATAGTTTAATAATACACAAAAATTGAGTGTCTAATTAAAGTTTACTCAAAGCAAGGGGAAAAGTAGAATGTACAAACCATTGGGCCTCAGGCTTTGAGCCTCAGGTACGCGTGCTTTAGGCGATTCTTGGCTGTCGCTCATAGAAGAGGAATCGCTGTCACTGTCACTAGATGAGGAGTCACTATTGCTTCCTGAATCACTTGAGCTGCTTAAGACACCCACAGCGCATTCCTGAAGGCAAGAAAAAGCGCAATTTTACATCCATAATTAATTAAGAAGGGGGGAAAAATCTCAGTAAGCATTGAGTTGAAAATATCTTAAAACATTCAGCAGTTAAAATTGAATAAACATGAAGTTAATGACAGTAAGCTTATTACCTTTCAAAAATATTAGGTAATGAAGGTAATATTAAAAGTAAACGATTGCAGTCTGACGCACTAATTGTTTCGACAGAGAGTTGGTAATTTTCTGGCCAATGAGTGTCAGAGATCAGCTAAAAACTGAAAATCTCAATACAGAGGAAAAAGCCCATTTGAGCACAATTTTCCCTTGTAGAGATATGCTGTTTGGTGCAACACTAGTTACAACCATCCGGAAATTCAACTTCAGACGCACTTCGGGTCTATTTGGACCCATCATCAGTGCAGCGCACTTGATGTATTGAGATTTCCAGTTATTAACTGATCTCTTATGCATATCGGCCAAAAAATTACCAACCTTTTGTCTGGAAGTAATAATGAATTATACAGTATAATATATATAAAGGGTCAGACTGGCTTTTCAACTCTTTAGCAAAATGGCAAGTAGTGTTACTTGTCGTAGTACAATAGATCTCGCTAAGTCGATTTTTTAATGGACTGAGAGCAGTGGCGCCTTTAGCAGCTTTATGTCTTCTCCACTTTATTGCTTAGCATGAAATAAGCATAAAAATTCGAGCTAAGAGATTTTGAGAGACTTGAAGTGATTATCTGAGTGACTTTTCCAAATTTTCAATTATCCATCTTGAATTTTAATTTTTTTAAAAAGTAAATTTTCAAATTGTATCTATTTACTTCATATAAATCGTTGAAGGACATAAAAAATCACGGATTTTGAAGCTTTTACTACTGTACTTCCTTTAAAACTACAGAAACGTTATGTAAACATTATTTTGAAACGTTTCTTCCTTTATGCAGACACAGATTTTGAAGCTCATGCTTCTGTGTTTCATTACAAAATATAGACATGCCAAATTTTAAAACCACTTAATGCGAAAAAAATAAAAAAACATAAACATTATTTTAAAACATTACTTTCTTTGAAAATCGCTCCATTCTCCTGATTATCCGCCTAGAAAATCGAATTTCCGTCCCATTTTCTAAAAAATTTTCTTTGATCTATGCAGACTTTCTTCCGCAACAAGAGTAGAAATTCATCTTAATTGTAGTTTCTTTTACATTGTCTTTTGTAGCAGAGTTTGGGGACTGACAAAATTTTTGACTCAAGCAGCATTACGTCATGACCGCTATACAACTTAGTGAGATTTCACCGTACTCATCTCACCCTTGTGAGATAGGATAACTAAAACTTTAGGATAAGGAACTTAGGATAACTAGGATAACTTTAGGACCTTCATTAGTTTTTCTTCTATTCACTCTTACTATGTTGTACTTTGCTTGATGATCACCATTAAAGGTGGAAACAGTCATCACAAACAGTATGCAGAGCTAGGCAAATGTACAGAAATAGTTTCCAGTGGCTTTCAAGGTGTCTAGTTTTTTTCCATTAATTTGAGAAATCCTGATTTTTCCTGATTACTGACTGCTAAATCCTGATTTCATAATTTTTCCATATCCTGGTCAAATCCTGATTTTTTGCAAAAAAATTAAAATTTCTGCATCAGCGTATGCGAAAGCATAAAAAAATCCGATCGGACAGCAGACTTTTCTCAAATCTTAATTTTACGACCAATTTTTCCTCAAATCCTGATGGAATCGGGAAAATCGGATAATCCTGATGCTAGACACTCTGCTTACGAAGGTTGGCTGAGATGATTGATCATGTACCCGTTTAAAATGTGCAGACCCCTCTTTGGTCGCACTGCAGCATAAGAACTACAAATTTTGCTCATTGCTCCTAATAATTGATAGCAGATAATATTTTCTAAAACAAGGTAAATATAAAACTTGAATCCAAAAAAGTTAAGAGAGGAGTACAATTATTCTAATCTGAAGAACTGAAAAAGACAATGAAAGTAAAAGTATTTACCATGTTCCCATTTTGGTTTGGTTCCCTTTGGGTTTCGAAACCAGTCATGGATGTTTCCTCAACTCCCAAGACGGGATTGTGACTTTGAAAGGATGGGGAGGCACTCCTTGAAATAAAAACAAAAAACAAAAATTTTACAAAGGCATGAATATATTTTTTTACAACCGAAATTGGAACCTTCTATTCAGAAAAGGGCCGAAAACTTTTGAGTCATCCTTTCTCTTAAGGGTGCAAAATTTTTTTAACCTTGCGACCAGATGGATCGGGATCTGTCACATGCAAAAATGGGAAAGCCGGCAAAATCGCGGTTTTTTCCTCTTTACAATGGTGCGGTAAAAATCGATTATTTTTGCAAAATTCCAGCAATTTATACTATCAGCACCATGAAATGAAAAGGTCATCCTTTTGAAAATCCTGGAGAGAGAGGGGTTTTTAAAAATGGATAGTCAAGAACTTTCTACATTCTTGCTTTCTTTTATCCATCATAAATTCCAAAGCTCTTGAGTTGTTGTCCCTTCAGCCTTTCCATACGAAAAAATGATTCATTACAGAGAGACTCATATTTAGCAGAGAGTGGAACAAGAATCAAAATATCATCAGTTAATTAAAGTAGAAAGAGAAAACTGACGCAAGGTACCTACTCAGTCTGCCATTACTTAAAACTTTAGGAGAAATAACGAAAGGGAGAAAAGAAGAAGAAAAAGGGATACACCGAGAGAAAGAGAGATTAAAAAGATGAAAAGTGACTAAATTTAGATGAAACCTAACAATTAAATAAAATTGAAATTACTTGAGACCACTGACAATAATGATATTAATTGAATACAGGGTTTTGGTGGAACAAGGTGGAGAAATGGTGCTGGGTCCACACCATTTCGTGGGGAAATCAAAGCCAAGAAGTTCCAAAAATTAAAATTAGAGTTAAAAATAATTTTTTGGACTCTAATGCGCACCCTCTAATTCTCCACCTTGTTACATTCAGGTTACGGGCCACTTCTTAGTGTTTTTTTCTTCGTTTCGGTGGAACTTAGTTGGTTTTTATTTGCTTGTCTTTCATTTATTTGATATACTTGCATGATAATAAATACATGTTTAATACTAGAGAGATGCTTCCTGTTCTTAATCATGTCAACTTTTAATGGTAATAGAAGGATAAAAAAAGGGGGATTCTGATACCTGTTATTGAAGGCAAGTTGTGGCGGTGACTTGTGCTGAGACAATGGTCGGTTTGGACTTTTGTGATGAGCTGGTGAGGGCGATGGCGAGGCATGTAAAGGCGAATGTCTAGGCACAAGACCAGAATTTGTCTTCAATTTTGAGGAGGATCCTGCATTTGCATTGAGAGATTTGATATCTGTGTTCTTCCACACATTTTTCGAGGTGTCTCCCACTTTCTGAGGTGCAGTTCTGAGAACATGAAATTGATGATAAGGTCTACTCGCAGACAAGGAAACACCATTAAACATAACTAAATGAAGTTATTTTTCTCCCTAATTTTGGAATATAGGTCATTCTAAGTAGCCTGGGTGGATCTAGGAAACCGGATTTTGGTGACAACCAGCCTATTTTGCGTCTGAATTAGGTTTTCTTGAATTTTCCTGATGGCTAATAACATACTAAAGAACGCTAGATTCACAGATTTTGTTTATTTTGATCAGTGTCCATTCTGTGTTACCTTGATTACGAGTAAGTCAGGTGTGTTCCAGGATTTTCATCATGTGATCACTGATAGACCAAAGACCTTGTACCGAACCTTTTGGTATGAGGCCGTCGAAGATGAGGAGCACGGGAATCGACCATTACGGCAACTGACATTTGCCACGTGGAAGAAGTGCGAGCCAAAGTGCTCGAAAATTGTCGTTTCGAGCTTGCTGAACAGTGTATTATTTCTGAAGGCTCTGTACATACAATTTTCAGAGAACATGTAGACCTGCATCGAGTTTCAGGTAAACTTGCCCCTTCATTGTTGTCCGTTGAACAAACATCCAACCAAATATCAATTCCCTTTAGCTGCTTGAACATTCTAACAATGATCTCCAATGATCCTACATTTATGGATAGGATAATTTTCGGTGACAAAACTTGAGTGTACAGCTACAACATGGAGCCGAAACTCCAATCACACTTGTGAGTTGAAAAATGTGGTGCAAGACCGAAAAAAGAGAGACAAGTTCGGTCAAAAGTAAAAATCGCAGAACACCCATGAGGTTGCCATACTTCAAGCCACATATCAACTAAGCTAATTAGGATTTTCCAGACAAACTAAGATGGTCGCATCTCAAGATACTTATCAGCGGAGAGTGAGTACATGCTATCCCTTGCAATTAAAATGTACCTGATACTGTGTGACATCAAGAGCGTACAAGATGCAACCACCTATGATTACCTGCCTTGGTGAATGAGAATATGACAAAAGTGCTAAATTTTTTTCAAAAAAGCAGATATGTAGGTAATCCGACTTACAAATTTCTCAGTACTCATTTGGATCTTTTTTTTTTCATAGATGTGCCAAAGTTCAATACTGAAAATAATAATTGTAATAAGAAAAAAAACAGACCATCAAAAAACCAATAGAGTAAAATTAGCATTTAGGAAAAGTAGCTGACACCTTGCTTGTAAAGATACAATGTAGGCGCTGAAACTGCAGTGAATTCTTGGAGGGTGGCAGAAAAATTGGAAAATGTGGAAGCTTGGAAGATTTTGCGACCCTGGAGATATTATCAAAGAAATACCTATATTATGGAGGATGAGGGTGAGATTTATAAATAAAGGGATCAAGAGTGAAATTACTCAATTCAAAAACGTACCTTGTTTTCTTCAGTTGTATATTGTTAGACAACTTTTCTAAGGTTATTTCACCTGTAACTTTATCTATGATAAGGACACATTCTTTCTGATAAGGCCTGTAAGAGCCTTTGAAGACGGTTTGTTGAGTTCCTGCTCCATCTAAATGAGGCACAGTAACACTGATTTGATTGGAGGCTCCAACATCAACTGTCGCTATCTTATTAGGGTCAACACTCGCAGGTTTGAAATCATCTGGACCACAAAAAAATGAAGGAGTGTTAAATTTTAATTTAAAAAATCAGGTAGAGCTTTTGTCACGTAAGTTGGCAATTGTTTACTTTTGATTGTCAAACGTAATAGACAGTTGGAGCAATATCGCTTCGGAGGAAGGTAATAGTTTTCAGTCCCTGCAAACATGGCAGTGAAACATTATTGTCGCGCTCAGTCAATCCCTGATAGCTGGGTATTGGATAGCAGCAGTGCGATCGCTTCGAAACAAAAAATGAACAGTTGCCAACTTATGTGATGCAAGTTCTAGTTATTGCGATGATTTTTAAGACATGGAACAGACTTGTGTGTATTAACCCTCAATGGCATAGCGTCACAAATTCGTAACAACATATTCTTGAGGTTTTCAAAAATTGAATCTTTCCTCTGAGGCATGATTTTGCAAATTTTCATTAGTTTTTTCTTTTTTGAATAACTGACTCGCAAACATATAAAATTTTGATAAAAAATTTGATACTCCTGTGTTTTTTAGGCAAGCGACAAAATAGAACAGTGTCCCCCAGAATTTGAGATTTAAATTAATTCATGCCATAGGGGGTTAAAAAGAAGTGTGACTGAAAACTTATTAGATAACGTCAAGTTCAAGTGAAAAAAATTCACTTGAATTATAAAAAAACTAAATTTGCTCAAAACAAATTCTGATTTTTTAAAGAACAAGTAGATTATGGCACCAGCCACAGGAGACTGAAACGCCTATCAAAAAAGGTATACAATGAAAAAAAAAAATTGATACATAGATTAGGATCTACACATCTCTACAAACTGCCTCAGAGACTTGGTATCTAGTTGCAGTTTTAAGAGCCACAGGATTTCTGATCTGGGTTGAAAATGACCAAAACTTTTGGAACCCAGATTTGAGGATGTACTGGTCGCCAGTGGCTAATTGTAACCTCCATCCCATGATCACTTTAGCTAAATGCGCCCAATTGTCGGCAAAGCAAATATTAGAATTTGCTAGAGAAAAACCTGAGCGGTCCTAGTTTCACCTGTAGGTTTAAATTTGGTGGTGCGACTAGTTTTAAATGCTTTGAACGTACACTTAATGGTGACTACTCACATCGTAAAGTATGAAATCCAGCAGATTTATCACCAGTAAAACTGGCACCAAGTTTAATTTGCCTTACTCCTGGGCCAAGTCCTAGTTTGTCGGTCATTTTCTTCCATCAGGTTGGTGATTTCTGAGACCTGGAATAGAAATCACACTGTGCTCAATTGATGATAGGGGAAAGCAAGTATAGACTGAAATCAGGAGAGTAGGAGAGTAGTTACGGCATCGACCTGATATGCGCGCAGACTCCACCCAAGTGCCACCATCGGCACTGAGTGTTTCATCTTGATGAGAAGCTTCAAGACAAAAGGTGGGTTAAATATTCAATCTTATATTTAGATAGATAGATAGGTAGATTTATTCAATGAAAAGTTCAACAAAAAACAGTATTGAAGTTATTTGAGCCACGAAAATATCATTTTAAGAGAACCAACCATTCTAGATCATTCTATTGACAAATGATCTGCAATGATAATAAATGAGATTCAAATGTACAACCCTACATGGCTAGAACCTTAAAATTTAAGTGTTTTATTTTTCTTGTTTTTATCTTTGTTTTTTGTAATATTCTCTTACTAATGGGTATTCATGCTGTGTCGATACTGTAAATAAATAGATAAATAAATGAATTGACAGAGGCTTTATTGACTAGGTCAGAGGTGCATTGGATGCATAAAAAACACCTTTCAGCAAATAAGTTCCTACTGTCACAGAGACAGTCACCAGACGAGGCACGAAATAATGGAGAGACTTATCTGGGTGATTTTTTGTGTAATGAGAGCAACTTCGAATCCTTTCACTGAGCTTTTCAAAGTGCTTTCATTGCACCTAAAATGTTCTTCTCGGGAGGTAGCTCGATGTAAAAGCTCTGGGTAAGTAATTAGTGGTCAATTCTGTGTAGTCACTTTTGGCCTTGTGAAGTAAGTTATCGGTAGAGAATTGAGTATGTGGCGCTTTTTCGTTTGAAAAGTAAACAAATACACGGATGAATTTTCCTTTCTACTACAATCAATTTATAAGCATAGATGAAAATGTAATGTAGAGTTGGCATCTTCACACAATATGCTTCGATTTAACTTGATTGCATTGAACAAGAATAAAACTTGAACTTGACTGCATAGTAGTAACAGTGATGCTTCAAATGGTGGGCTCATTTAGCCCAACAATAGGAGATGAAAATATAGGACAGGATTTGGTGACGATTACCTGGCAACTTCCTCGTTCCTGCAGTAAAGGAGATCAGTCAAAATAAATTCGCGAATTAGCGAAGTATATACGCTGAACACTGATTCCAGCAACAAGCGAGCAGCTGCTTTCTCCCGTCTCCCGTCCCGTCGAGGGCTCGTGTTGAACTTTCGTTACCAACTTAAAAACCCTTTTACCCTGGATATCCATTTAGGCAGAGTTTGAACATAATAAAAAGAAGTATGCGCATGAGGAGAGATTAAATTAGTGAAATTCGACCATGACAGTATATTCAAAAATAAAGCTCATTCTTAGCATTGCAAGAAAATGCATCACTTACTTTTTAAAATTTAGAAGAAAGTTCAAAGTAGAGAGAAATTGTTCAGGTTGACTTCTTGTCATCAACTTGATCAGCTGATCTTTGTTTACAATATCACAATCAGTTCAATGTATTTTAGGTTATGCATGCCTGTGAACATTTTGTCATGCGCTCCTTCTTAGTACTGGGTGTTTTTCAGAGGTGTTTTCAGCTCATTTCCATTGAGATTTGTGTTTTCCTAGAACACTAGTAATGACTGTTGTTTTTGAAATATAAGCCAGTTAAACGCTCCATTCTTTCTTAAGAGATGTCAGCGTATTTACGATTCACATCAGAAGCTAGCCAAAAACCATCATGGTACTTTTATTCGACTATTGCTGTGATCCCTCCTCTTAGTGGATTTTTTTATGGAGTTCATACGTTTTGGTTGGCTAAATACAAAAAACTTGTCGAATACTGTCAGTAAGTAGAATCCACAGTGTATAGTTAGTTGTAAGTGATAGGCGAGCTGAAAGTTATTATCTCAAACTTGGAAATCTATTGGCTCCAAATCTAATAAAAATATAGAAACCTGATTTTCAAGGGAAAGCACTGTCTACAAGACTTGAGTGAAGAGATTTGAGATTACTTCCAGTCTAGAAAGAGGTTTTTTCTGTTTTTTAAGCTCCACAAAATCAAAATAAACTTTCTGATTAACACAGGAACAATATCACTTATCCACAACTTTCGATGAACTGGACAAGCATTGGTGACCACCACCTTTCTTTGAAACAGATACCTCAGTTTTCTATAAGTTAAAGAGAAAACAAGAGTCGCAATTTGAATCGCGGGCCGAGTGGCACACCATACCTTCATGTGTCGTCTCTGACTGGCTGATCCAATTTGCGGCGCGAGTTTTGAAACTATGTTGGCCCGACAGAAAAAGACATAGCCCTATCGTAACCGTGCAATATATCGCAATTAGATGTCTTTTCGGCTGCCTTAAACTTTCAATAATCAGCCTTCTGGGGCCCTTGTGAAAAATAAAGGGGCTCGATAATATTTTCGATAATATTTCGAAAACTAGGAAAAATCTTTTGGTCGGAGATTTCAGAAATCATTTCTCCAGATTTTTCTGTAGAGATTGATGGGTAATACATGTCACTTTTTGCTCAAACACACGGAACAGTTTGACCTAGAACTTGTTTTTTTTTTATTTGAAATATTACACTTCGTTTCATGGAAAAACAAAATTCCAAGTCAAACTGTTGGCGTGTTTCAGAAAAAAGTGTCATGTACAACCTATCAATCTCTTCAGAATATTTTGAGGAGTGACTCCTAATACCTCCAACGTACAAATTTCTCCTTGCTTTCAAGATATTTTCAATGAAAACTGAACCCTGTGTTTTTTTTCCATGAAGGCCCGAGAAAGTGGGCACTAGGTGGATCAGCCAATCAGAGACGACTCATAAGAGTAAGGGGTGCCACCCGGCCCGCAATTCAAATTGCCGCTTTTGTTTTCTCTTTGCTTTAAATGAAATAAAATTCCAGCAAAGAGTGGTCGTGCAATAGCTATTGGAAGATTCAGAGATTGCTTGCTCCTCACTTAGAATATCAGAGAGGAAGTTTATGCTTCTCCTCTATGAGATATTCATAATTGCAGGTGGGGGTATTGTGTCTTAGACGGCAATATGATAGGTTTTCATCTCGCCTCTACCTCAGTTAACAATAAGTACAGGAGGGTACCAATTTTCCTTATACCCATGGCTGGAAAGCAATACTGTACATACCATAATTTTTATCCTGTTCATTTCTTATATTTGCACGAAAACTTTGCCTTAGTGAACAACATTTGGCAAAACATTTGGCATTGAACATTTTCTTTTTTGTTTCAGGAATGGTAAGCCAGCACCAGTACCAGAGGATCTTAAAGAAATGTTTAATGCGGTGAAAAACGATTTACCAAACCAAGATGCATTTTACCAAAAATTCATGAATGTTTTTATGGTCAATGGATTTGACCCATTTTATGCTGGATCTACAAGAACTCTTTATGGAGGCATTGTTGGGATTCCAAAAACCTTCACCTATAAATCCATTAAAGATGCTCTAGATGAAGCAAAAGATATTCGGGTAAAGATATTGCATTTGCTTCTTTATTTCCTGCTATTTTTACTGAATTTCTTTGATAGGATGGAAATCGACAGTGTAAGTCGGCAATCACATACCTACCTAACTTGTGCGCGGTGTCTGAAAATCTCTGCCTCTATGGTATTTTTTTAATGGAGAATAAATCGACATCATTCCTTGTTAAGCAGAATTTTATTTGCACAGAGTAGAAAAATCACGGCTGTTTTAAAGAAATGCTGTGGAGTAGTTTTCCGTTTCAAAAATAAAGTATTTTAATAAAGACAGGAAGTCTGCGATGTTGTCAACCGAGTTATGTTCTTGCCAACTTACACCATCGAAATGCTATTCTGTTACTAAAGAATTGATGCTTTGTTGACTATCTTAAGGTTTTTTCTCAACCTAATGGAAGGTCTTCATTCTGCTTAAAACACCTAAAGTGCACAAAAGATGAAAGGGTCTCTCTCCCCCTTCTTTACCCTTGGGCAATGTTCAGTGACGCAGTATGAAACTGTCTCCTTTGTGGATTTCTTGCTGAAGAGATTTAAGTCAATGCCTCATTGATAATAATTCCTAATAAGCAGGTTTTGATCCGTTTTTCCGATTGGCTTGTCGGCAAATGTTGCTCAATGTCTTGGCATTGAGGTTGCTTACTGTCCAGATTTTGCCAAATCGTCTACTTTGCAGGCTTGAAACTGTTAGTAGATTGTATTATCTCTACTGACTTCGATATTTCAACTGAATTTCCCTCTGTAATTTTTCCACTTTAAGTGACTTCCCTTTGTGGAAACATTTCATTCAAACGAAACACTACAAATTGTCATGAAAATAATGCACTGGTAGAATTTCTGTGCTGGGAAAGTTAATGAAGGAAATAAAAATACCTTGAAGGATGTTAGAAGAAACAGTCCACAGTCTGACCTGGTGGCTAAAAAAAGAGGCTTGTGGAAATACCAGGAAAAGCAATACTACATAGGTCTGAATGGAAAATTATCCTCTTTACCGCCTCATACTGCTCTTGAATCACCGTTTCCGGTATTCTTGGCTCTTCTTCACCCATTAATCTACTTTTTGTTAGCCATTGATAGAGTCTGAATGTAAAGGTGATCTTTTATGGAGATTACTTGATGTCATTTTAAGGAACCAACCTCAATCCCTTTTTTTGTCTTCTTTTCAGATTCAGGATTCTCCTATTATGTGGGATTACGTCGAACAGGAAGTAAAAGATAAATTATTTAATTCTCTTGTCTTTAGTGAAAAAGCTATCAAGTATGCAATGGCTTATAATTGTATCCTAATTGATGGTGTCAGTGTTGCTTTTTATGCCTTTTACCCAGCATTGCTAGCTGTATTGAATGGTGTGATTGGTGACTACACCACCCAAAAATATAAACTCAATAATAAACCATTCATTGTCAAAGCTGCAGCTGCACTCGGAATTTGCACCTTATCAGTTTGCACTTGGATTTCTCTTGTAAATGTTCACAAAAATGTACAAGAAAAAACTGCCAATAAGGTAGTGGAAGAAATGGATGAGGAATATCTTGAGGGTGCCATCGAGTATTGGAGCAAGATTGTAGATCGAAACCTTGCTCTACGGCATTTAATGAAAGATGGAGAAAGTAGATATTCTCCTCAAGGAAAGGAGATTTTCTTGTTAGGATCCCCAGGCATTAATCCTGTCGATCAGAAAGCAATCTACGAAAAACTTTTGGAAGAGCGGAAAAAGAAGAAAGAGGAGGAAGAAAATGTAACTGAATGATTTTTTTTTCTTTTTTGTTCCATGAGCACCTAATGGTTCTTTTCTACTGTATTTTGAAATACTTTGTGTTTTAAATGGAAATGACTGAAGGCTTTTGCAAGACCAGTTCTTTTTATACCTATATGTTTAATTAAAAGTCCATTTTGTTCCAAAATTTTTCTCCATTCTTTAATCTGCCGTGCAATGCAAAAACGCCATAAACGACATTTTATATTTTTTGGAAACAATGTATCATAGTGGAAGAACTTTTGTACCTTGAGACAGTGTTTTGACAGAATTCTTTTGTAAATACTATCAAGAGCTTAACCTGAAAATTTAAGGTGCATGGTTCAAACAATTTTTATTTTATTGAGTGTTAAGTTCCAAAAAGCGAGGGGAAATCTTGATGGATTTACGGCGTTCTTGCTTAGTACGGTAGTAATCCCTATGATATTGTGTAAGAAATAACCATTTTACAAGTACACTTCATCAGAATAGCATCGTAACTTTAGGACTACTCTACTAACTACTACTAACTTAAGGACTTTTCCTAACTACATTGGAAATGGAACACTACATGGAGAGGATAAAACATCAAAATATATGTTTCTTTATAAATATCTCAGGGAAAAGAGAATAGACAAATGAAGAATTTACATAATTATTTAGTTGAAGTGAAGTATTACTAGTGAAGAATTGGTAATTTCTTTGTCTGAAACGTCCAACTTCCAGCTTTTCAAAAAGCTGGCCAAAAGCTCACTAGGGTCAAATATGGCACCAAACTAATTTCAATGTGCATATAATGAAAACATTTCTCAAAGTCTTGAGTATTTCTTGACAACTGAGGAAGCACTTGTGTCAAAGGAGCACGGAAGTCTTTATGAAACATTCATGATTTCATGATACTCTCTTTTATTTTCTGTCCAATGCAAGTATTACGTAAGCTACTCAAGGTCTGAGCTTGGAGCTTGTCTTTCGGGGTCTCACAAGGGAGAGGGGAGGTCATACCCAGTCCTGCATAAGCCTCCCAATTTAAAAAACAATAATCTCCAATAATAATAATTTGTTTAGCCATTTTTCAGTCTCTCTCCATTTTATCTGATAAAGTGGGGGAAGAAGGATCTAAGAGAATGCTTTACAAATGCCTTTCAAAGAGGGAATTGGGCTCAAAAAGTCGGCCAAAGTACTTTGTGTTATACTTGAACTATTAGAATTGGACCTGATTTGACCCAAGTACATTGACTTTGCTTTTTTGAAAGGCCCGAATTCCAATATTTTATTTTAGTGTGAACCATCATTGCTCTCGTTTCTTAGTCTCTCAAGAACATTTTCAACTAACTTAAAAGGAATGTTTTATGTGGAATTTAAATGAGAAAACGTGCACTGTATTCTTTTTGTCCCGGCCCATTACCTGATGATCTATTTCTTTGGCTTTAATATTTCTAATCGAGAAGATGGGGAGGGGGAGGGGGTAGGAATTTCATACTGGCCCTGGTAAAAATTGGCGATAGGAGCTGCGTTTCAAAATACCATAGGAGTTCTTATAGCCGACTGAAGAGGGCGATAGAAAATCATGCCGCTGGCTGTAGAAAGTGGAAAAAATCGTACGGCCGGGCTACACGAAGCGATAAAAAATCATACAGCCGGGCTATAGTTCCTATCGCCGGGCTTTACGATTTATCGCCTGGCTGTTGCTTTTTCGCCATCGGCTATAAAAGGCTATAAGAAATTGAGTAGAAATTCTTGTGCTTTGTAAATCCTTAAGTTTGTATGGAATCACCTTAATATTTACAAAACGCACATTATATTTTCCTTTACTACTTGTTTTTTTTCATCAATAAAAATGAGAATAATCCATACAGAGTGTGCAAACATTTCAAAGTCATGAGTTGAAAAACGCTGACTCCGCGAGATTAAATATTAGAGCCCGACACAAAGCGGAGCGGCAGCGCACCGGCGCCTACAAACCTAACAGGGATACTTCACGCATTGCGCAATGCGTGAAGTATCCCTGTTAGGTTTGCAGGCGCCAATGCGCCGCGGCGCTTGAAACAACTATTTCACACCAGAGGTATTGCACAGTATCATACGAAATTGAAGGCGCTCCAACATCTTAGAAATGTCAGGCATCCTTCAAAAGAACGGAGCTTTCCTCGGAAATTAAATCAAGATACTGCGGCCCAAAAAGAGAGCGGTAGTCCAAAAACTCACTAAGTCCTAGCATCCGTAATTAGTAACGTTTAGCATACACTTTATCGCCAGGCTGTTGCTTAGTCGCCACCGGCTATAAAAGGCTATAAGAAATTGTGTTGCCGGCTATAGAAGCTATTGGAAATCTTACAGCCGGTTGTAGGTCTATGGTATTTTGGAACACAGATTCTACTGCCAATTTTTACCAGGGGGTCTCTAGCTATTGTGAGAAATTTGTGTGTGTTGCTCACACCTGTAATCAGTGTCATCACCTGGAACACCCTCCTTTTTTTTCTCATACACATTGTGCAATTTGTCGTTTCCCGCACGAAGGAACTTGACTGCGTTATTTCAGTATTTCTCACATTTATTTTATTTATCCTCAAGCAAACCGTTGTATGAATTTCCCAAAAATTTCTATTGACTTTTTTTCCCTAGGTACTTAAAAAACTCTTATTTTCGGAGTAATATAATTATGCGAAGCCCATCTCATCAAAAAATAAAATTTTCGTAGGAACACTGAAACACTGGAGATGAGATACGCGCCTTCGTGCGGAAGACGACGAATTTCTCCATTGACATGGTTAGTGTCCTGGGTAAATTACTCCTGAGATTGTAAGACAAGACACAAGATCTCGCTCTCTTTCTCAGTGTAATCATGTTTTTTTCCATACACCTCATATAGGTACCGTGCTCACTTTAATTTTTTCTCTCCCTCTGTCCGTAGCCATTTCTCATGTTGCAGCCTTCCCTAAGCTTTTTTAGAACCTTGTAAAAATGAGTTGACTACACCCGAGCGGCAAAGTTTATCTCATTTTACAATTTGCACCCTCCTCTTCTCTATAAATACCCACCTGTCTAATCCTCTGTATAACCGTTCAATGCATTTTTCAAGCTAAAAAGGTTGTGATGTGATTTAATTGATCTCTGAAATTTCTAAAAATATCAGTTGATTTTATTAGCACTCAAGTAGTTTACAAAATGAAATAAAACAATTGATTTTAAAATGTGTTTGTTCACCTTCTTACTCAATGTTATGCAGCAGCACATGCATAAAAATTGTAGCATTTAGTGAGCAAAATATGCAAGCAGTTGATTTTAGTGTCTAACGAGCGACTGACAACAATTTTGGAATTTTCCTTTCGATTTTCAATCCTCTTGATACATTGTTCAACTTAATTTCAGCCCTGACTCTAACTGCGCACAAAGAGCAAAATGTAGGTACTTGATAATTAATTTGAGCCTCTCAATGCAAAAGACCTAATTCCCACCTGAATTCATCGTTCGCTCAGAAAATTGGTATGAAACTTTTATCACGGGGTAAGATGCGACTATTCCTACTCGACGGATGGCTGTATTGCATACATTTGTAAATGAAGGCGTTTTGGTTTTCCTTCATGAAGCGCCGCGCTAAAGCGTTAGGAGTATGTAACGGAGGAGTGCATCTTACTTCGGATATGTAGGTACATTTGAAAACTCGTAACAGCTCGTCTGCAATCGGTCTAATCTAATGGAAAAACATACCAGGAAATATTAAGCCTGAAATTAGAATTTTTTATACATATATATAGCGCAAACGCCCTGCGAAGTTCGCAGTACAAATATACATTGTTTAGATTCACGACGCACCAACTTAAGTACAAGTCGTGCTGCTTGGATAATTGGACGTACTTGTGTCAAACGGAACTATGTGCATTAAGACATAAGCCCTGATACCCATAAGAATATATGCACAACAGGGCTCAAGTCATAATGCACATAGTTCCGTTAGACAGAAATACGTCCAATTACAGGGTGCAGGAAACGAAGCATTCAGGAAAACCTTACACACCTATAACTTTTTCTAAAAAATACATGGAGGGTTTCGGAGTACCTAAAAAAAATCACTCCACTGGCGGAAAATGGGGAACGGCCGCTCATAATATTGCTTGCGCACTTAAACCTTGTGGTGGTGGGTTCGATTCCCGGCTAGTACCCAGACCTTAGACCTAAGATTCTTCTTCTTTATATTTTTTTTTACAAGAAGAAAACCTCTCAATCACGGGTGCAACTCGTTACAGCTCGTCTTAAGCCGGTCCAATAATTTATTGGAAAACATAGGTACTTACCAGGAAAAATTGAGCTTGGAAATAAGGAGCTTGGAGGACAAGGTGCATAAATGCAGTTTTTGCTATTTCGAGGAGTACGTATTACAAGTTTTGAAAGAACACGGATTCTTAGGCGGAAAGATACGAGTAGTTCAAATTGACTCTTTGATGCTTGAGAATTGGAATTTGGGAGGGAATTTTTCATAGAATGCGTACTAAGACTAGTTTTACTTGAAATCATTAATATCTCAATTTTTTCAAAAGCCGCACTTATGCGCCTTATCTTTCAAAGCCCCTCAATAGGATCTTCATAGGTTGCGCAAGTCCCGATAAAGTCTGCTGTACAAATTACATCGCTTTAAATCCAAGACGCACAAAGTACATGGTAAAGGTGCTGCGACATCCTTATCTCTCCGATTCTCCGATCCATAAATCAATTTTTTGCTCAAAACTTCTCCATATATATACATTTTATAATTATAAGGGACTTTTTAACGCAATATTTTGCTAGTGCCAGTGGAGCAAGGTCTTAACCTCTCTGTCTACACGAGACCTATCATTCCTACTCCCGCTATGAAGGTAGAGCAATCCCTGCTCTCGTGATGAGGTCTTGCTTTTTTAGGTGACTCTTTGGCCTTGTCTCTTCGAGACGATTCATATGGGCTTTGTTTTAAGTTCGAAATCGCAGGAACGAAACTTTTGGGCTTCTTCCTCGTTAAACAAAACAACAAAATACTTCTTCCTAGAGTCCCGCTTAGGACTTTACGAGGACTATACTTGGTAGTGTTACGCCTTGTATCCACGAGACGTTTCTGTTTTTGACGCAATGCGTGAAGTCATGCAGTCTTGTAGGCGCTACACGTTTCACGCCAACCGCTGCTGACCGCACTGTGTTCGA